AGTAGGTACTGAAATCTGAAAGTAAAAGTATTCTATTATTTCTATTAGATATTTTAGAAAATGTTTACTATAAATTCAGCTAATCGTTTGTATATATGATATGTTAATCATTGGATATTTGGATGTGTATTCAAATTTTTATTTATGAACTTTGTTTACAACATTTTACCTACTTATTTAACCAAGATTATTACTATGATTGATAATTTTAGTCAAATTCTGATGAACACGGCCATATAATAAAATAATTTGACATTTCCATCTGCACACTGGAGTATGAATTTTAGTTTGGCCTTGGATATTATTAATAGAGAATAATATAAATTATATGTGAATAGATAATGCTCATCTTTCATCAGTCATCGCAAATACCACCAAGACAGGAAATTATAGTCTGGTACAGGTATAAACGACATATTCCGGTTATTATTACGTTGTGTTTTTCTTGTCTTTATTGTTTTTCATTAATATTCATGTGAGCAAAATCAATTGCTTAAAATTACCACTGCTGTAGGGTTCAGGTGACAAACATTATTATTATTACTATTATTATTATTATCGATATTAATTTTATACTATTTTGACTACTATTACTTTTTTATATTCATCGAGACTAACAATTATAAATAATAATTATGCTACCCATTGCAGCCATTGTAAAGAATATTGCATTACTATTATACTGTAATACGTTTATTTATCTGATACTTCATAGGTTAGCTAACAAATTATGATGATTTTGCTCATACCATATAGTATTAGTATTAGTATTTTATTATAGTTTGCAAATATACGCGTGACGTGTTTGGGTTTTTTTTATCTGTGTTTGTAGAAAGTTAACAAGTAAATTACAGTTCAATATTAATTATGAACACCTCAGCATCCAAATTATTTTATTCATTTTTCAATATATGTAATCTCAAGTAACACAATTTTCATAAAAGAAACAAACTTTTCAACCAAACCATATAATATCTATTTAAATATTAGTCTTGCCAAGATATTTATGTATGTATACATGAAAGTACCTAGTGTCCTAGTAGGCTTATAGCTAATTCTAAAATAATTTTTAGCAAATAAGTCGTGATTTATATTCCAGTATTTGAATTTTATTGGTTCTTAATGTCATTGATAATAAATTCGATTTTAAAGGTATTGTCGTTTGGCCTTGATAAATAAATTTAAAAGATTTTATATTCCATTAACTTTAGTGCTGAAGATAAGTGATAACTGATAAGTGTCATCAAAATTAGATGACCTAGTACTTATACATACGTACTTCAGAATACTTGATATTCATGTAAGTGTATATTAATTGTATTAATTGTATATTTGTATGGTAAAATGTATTTAAAATACATTTACAAAGTATGTATAGGTATTCTGTTTTAGTTTGTAGAAAATAAGTATTATTGATAATACATTCGTATTTGTACATTAAAACTTTATTTGGGATTATTCAAATACAGAACGATAAATTATGTTCAGAAAAAAATTCTTTAAATTGTCATTGGTCTCTGTACTTGCGGAGGCGAAAGCAACATTATTCGCACGAGATCGTAATTGGGCGATGGAGGTCAGTGTGTAGAGGGGGTTCCTCATCTGTTCTCAGCAGTCCGTTAGATATCCTAGTGCTCCGGTCTTCTTCCGATCAATTGGAAAATCACTCTCGTTGGGCTGACAACCATACAACTTGCTCTCTTTTTATCTAACAGTATTTTATTTGGTAACTTACAACTTAGGTATTTCACACGCATACTAATAATTTATAAATTGGTTTTTGTTCATAAATATTTTATTATTTTTAATTAAAAATGTCGGTTAACGTAAGGACCAAAGTGGTTCGTGGTCCAAGCAGAAATGTACGTATATCAACATATTATATGCATTGTATTTACTAACATTTTTTATTCACAAATGTATTGTTTTATTTGCATTGATTAGTGAATTACTTAAATCTATAGCTTTTACTTTATTCTTGTTCATTATTTCATGCAACAATACATTCAAACCTAACTTGACTAATATTAAGTTATTAATTTTAATTAAGTCAAATTAATAATTGTTATTTATATATAAAGACTGTACGTAGCTGTACTATCAAATTGTGCATTTCCCCCTTGATGTATGACCGAATTACTATAAACGCTTAGATTTCTTTATGCTTAAAATATTTCACTGGTATGAATACTTCAATACATTTTATCGTTTTATTATATTTTAATCTTATCGTTTTTTTTTCTTTTTTTCATAATTTTTGTACGTCATACCATAATAAACTTATTATAAAACTTGACAATATTTATTCGTTTTCTTTAACTTTAAACAATTGTAATATATAATGCTTAATTTGAAAACGATCATAAAATAAAAACAATACTTTTATTTTTATATAGTTGGATCTTAAAAATTAACTTTTTAACACCACTATCATTTTATAAAACCGAATATTATTATTTCCTTGTATGTTTTATAAAAATTTGTTTCATGTGATGATTGAGTATTTGGAGACAATATTTTAATTACCAATATTTGAGTAATATATTTGGACAACAATCATACATTGAAGGTCACATTTGGCTTTCACCGGAGAAAGTAGCTTAATATACGAGTTTCAGAGTACATTGGGTTGGATTTACTTCCTGTCTTAATGAAAAGTTTCGTAATAACACTTCCGTATCATCATCAGAAGTATCTCATAATCATGTGCATGTTTTAACAAAAATGTGTTGTGACCGCTCTCATATTTGCAATGTATATTAAATGCATTTAGGAATTAGGCAAAGTGTTAATTTAATATGTTATATAATATAATACCTTATATTCAATGCTAACATCTTGTGTTATTTTCCATGCGGTTGTACTGCAGTTGCTTACAAGATTCCTCTGTAATCATAAATGTTAATCTTACGCAAGTGTAGAATAAGTGGATAATTGCCAATTTTAAATAATAAAAAAAATGAAATCTTCGTGTGTGTATTTTATAAATTCGTGTATATTTTTTAGTGCTGTAAGTATTAGTTATTTAGAATTATTTATATACCAAAGATTAAAAAAGTTTAAGACATCGTACCCGTATGGCCGCATGTACTTTCTCCAAACGCACTACACGGCAAATTTTAAGTATACACTATAGAATAATTCATTATATAATTTGTTGTATTTTATACTAGAATTAATTTACTATTCATTATACAATTTGAAGGTAAGAATATTATCTAAGCTCCAAATAGGATTTTTTGATATTTTAATTTCGAAACATGTTATGAGCATTTTAAAATGGTAAATTACATAAAAATTAAAATATATCCAAATGCCTGTGCAGGTTCTTAAATAATATTTTTACCTTTAAATTTAAAAAAAAGATCAGTTCATTCTTTGTATTAAAAATTTAAATGGATTATCCTGAACGTAAATAATAATAAACAATATAGTGGTAATAATTTGCTGTGTGATTCGATCTAAGATCGAAACAATACATTCGGGTATAACGTCCTATTAATGAAAAAAAATAGAGAAAACGTTAAACCGTACAATTTTAAAAATAAAATTTTTTAGTAGAATCGTATCGAACAACAATAATTTTGTAAAAAATAATAATATAGTATAATTATTGAAAACAGTGATTTATTTTACCTAATATTTTGTTTACAGGTAGCGACTAATGTCACCGTTCAGAAACATCACGTTTCCCGGGACAAACGCGGACAGGTTCTCGGCAACGTGCGGGGGTTTCGGGGTTGTACCGTTTGGTTTACAGGTCAGTGCGGATAAAAAAAAACGTTTAAATATTTTTATTTTATTTTTTTTTTTAGTGCGTTTCGTAAACAAAGTCAATAAAATCAAATATGTTTTTCAGGATTATCTGGTGCCGGCAAGACGTCCGTATCCTTCGAACTGGAAGCGTATTTGGTTGCTAGAGGAATACCAGCCTATGGATTGGACGGCGACAACATGAGAACGGGATTAAACAGAGATCTGGGATTTAGCCCCGCTGATCGAGAGGAGAACATCAGGCGCGTGGCTGAAGTGGCCAAATTGTTCGCTGATAGCGGCGTTGTTACACTGTGCAGTTTTGTGTCTCCGTTCCAACAAGTGAGCAGCTAGTGTACAGCTGAAGTACCTAAAAACATTACAACCGGTGGAGTTGACAAACGGTGTTTTTGTCATAATTTAGGACAGAGAAATGGCCAGAAAGATACATAAAGATGCTGATTTACCATTTTTCGAGGTGTTTGTTGATGCACCTTTAAGTGTATGTGAAGAACGTGATGTCAAGGGTCTTTATAAAAAGGCCAGAGCTGGTCAAATTAAAGGTAATTTATACATTTTATTTTTTTAAACGCATACAATTTTGTGAAGAATTGTTTGTAGATGCTTGGTAGTTAGTACTTAATTATTAATATTATATACTATTTTACATATTATATTATTGTTCTGTGTACCTACTAATAACCAAAGTGAAATACTAAATATTTTAATTGAGTCTTCAGTCATCAGCTTATAATAAACTGCACTTGAATAAGCAATTTAAGACATTTAACTGTTTAAGAAGTATTAATATTTTTTAATTTTTAGGATTTACTGGAGTTGACCAGGTATATGAAAAACCAGATTCACCAGAATTAGTTCTTAAAACAGTTCATTTATCCGTAGAAGAAAGTACTATGCAAGTAGTACAAATGCTTGAAGAAAATGTGAGTTATTAGTTATTACCTATGTTATATTACTTATATATTACATTTTTATTTATCATGTGCACAGTAATATAGTTTTAATGTCTTGAATAATCTGCGCCATAAGAACAATAGTATTTTTAAGACACATTACTCATGTGTGATGTGTCTTATTGGTATTTTATTATCAACTCTATTTTTAAATGGTACCTTCATAATATCAAAGTTGTCTCATTAAAAAAAAATGTATGTGCATAAGATCACACGACAAGTGAAAACTTCAACAAGGCGAAATTATTAGTATGAAATGCAAGTTTTTTTTCCTTCAATATTGATAAATTAATAACTTTTACAATGTACTTAATTATAATTGTGTATAAAATACTCCATTGAATTTTGCTCTGAGGGGCTTTCATCTGCATCATCATACTCTAAAAATGAATCTATAGGTTTATGGTAACTGAAATATGAAATGAATATTTTTGAATGGAATGTATTTTCTAAATAGCTAAAAAAAAATTTAAAAATTTTTCCATTAATAATGGACTTTGGAGACACACACGTACTCACACACACAATGAAGTTTTGGAACATGGATTTATTTGATATAATATTAAAGTAGAGACACTGAAATAGCCAGTAAATGGAATTCGTAAGACATACCTGAAATCACCCAATTATCATAATGTTAAAAAGAACTAGAGAAATAAAATAAAAGTTATAATGACATGTTATTCATTCATAAGATATATTATTAAGTATTTAGAATAAACAATGTTTTAAAAATTATAGCTAAAACCTATTGCTTGTCGATTTTAATTTTAAGTGTTTTTCGTTTTAGGAAGTTATTCCCCTGCAAATGAACCGTGACATTGACCGTGTAGCTGAACTTTTTGTCCCAGAAAATGCAATAGAAAAAACCAAATCCGAAGCATTACTACTTCCTCGGCTTGACATTGGGAAGATGGACACACAATGGGTACAAGTATTGGCTGAAGGTTGGGCAGCTCCACTTGGTGGTTTCATGAATGAAGAAGAATATTTACAAGTATGCAATAACAATTAAGTTTTCAAATCATTTTAAAATTGTAACTTATGGAGTATTATTATTTATTACTATTTGCAGACTTTGCATTTCAATAGTTTTAGCGAGGATGTTAACCAATCCATACCTATTGTTTTGCCCATAACCACTGATAAAAAAGAACAGCTGTTTGGCTGTGAAGAAATTGCTTTATGGTATAATTCCAAACCGATAGCAATACTTCGTAAGCCATCATTTTATCCCCACCGTAAAGAAGAACGAGTATGTCGTCAATTTGGAACATCACATCCCAATCATCCTTATATAAAGGTACTTAATTATTTTAGGATCTATTGTCAAAATTTGTATTTAATATTTTATTTATTATATTTTAGACAATTTATGAAAGTGGTGATTGGTTGGTTGGTGGTAACTTGGACGTTATAGAAAGAATCTTATGGAATGATGGTTTGGACGATATTCGTTTCACACCAAATGAACTCCGTGCTAAATGGAGAGAAATGAAAGCAGATGCAATATTTGCTTTCCAACTTCGAAATCCAATACATAACGGTCATGCACTATTAATGCAGGTTTGTGTTATTACATTTTTCTTTATTAATTATTTATTATAGTTTATGTGATGAATGTTTAATTAGGATACTAAGAAAAAGCTTCTAGAACGCGGATATAAGAAACCAGTGTTACTGTTACATCCTCTTGGTGGCTGGACAAAAGATGATGATGTTCCACTACATGTGAGAATACTTCAACACAAAGCTGTACTCAGAGATGGAATTTTAGATCCAGAAGCTACTGTTTTGGCAATTTTCCCAGCACCTATGAATTATGCGGGTCCTACAGAGGTATAATTTCTATAAAATAAAATATGTTATTTGTTTTTTTTTATTTTGTAAGCAATAATGAACAGTTAATTTATTAAATGTTTGTTAAAATACCATCTTGCCTTGTTATAAAAAAACAAATTTACCATAACAAAGTATAATGGATATTAGAGTTTAACAAAATCTGATTTTTAGGTGCAATGGCATGCCAAAGCTCGCATGTCTGCAGGAGCAAACTTTTACATTGTGGGCAGGGATCCAGCAGGAGTTCCACACCCAGATACTAACGTATCAGGTGATTTATTTGATCCCACTCATGGTGCTCGTGTATTGACTATGGCACCAGGACTAGCAGACTTGGAGATTATACCCTTTCGAGTAGCAGCCTATGACAAAACAAAAAAAGCCATGGACTTTTATGATTCTGCCCGACATAATGATTTCAACTTTATATCTGGCACAAAAATGAGAGGTATTTATTTTTTTTGTAAACAATTAAACATCTACACTAACTTCATCTATACATTTTTACACATAAAATGTAAATTGTACTTTTAGGTCTCGCTAAAGATGGTATTGAACCACCGGCTGGGTTCATGGCATCTTCAGCCTGGGAAGTACTGGCGAACTATTACAAATCATTGAACAAACTTTGAGCAAGATTTTTATTTATTTATATTTGTCCATTATGGACAGAGGACATTCCTATTTTAAAAAATTAACAATCCCTCCATTCCTTTTTAAACTTCTTTATTTCTATGTGTGAATTATTTTAATTTTTTTTTGTTTATTATTATTTTGGTGCATTGAACAATTTATATTGGTAGTATGTAGAATAGCTTTTTTTATTATTGTAATGCATTAGTACAATACTCGTTTACGTTATAATGTTAATAATAATTTTAAAAAAAAATGTTTGAAAAAATGACAGTAGTAAATTTAATTTTTATAGTTTAATTACAGTCATTGAACTAACAATATTAAAGTGATTAACAATTACTTAATGGTGATTTAAATATAAATTCTATTTATTATAATGAACGATTAAACGACCAAAGTGTATATCCCTATTCATATTTACTATTAGTCTTAGATATATTATATTATATAAATTAGTTGTTTTCAGAATGTATTGTTTAATATTAATTATTATTCTACTGCTATTGATTACAAAATTGATACCAATGGCTTAATTTATATGTTACCATTGTTAAACATTTTAATTTAAATATATATTTTTTATTTCTAAATGGTTTGTTTATATTTATCTTATATTTTTTGGAATTTTTTTTCCAAAATGTGTGTTTTGCATGCTTAATTTAATGGTGCTTTAATGGAATCAGATTTTTACTTTATATGGTATTGTTAATAAATCACGTACAACATAATTATAAAGTTATTTCAAACATTCCCAAATTAAAGTAACTCAAATTTGACTTTTTTCATTTGGCGTGCAATCACATAAATACTTTTTTGTGAAAACAGAACTAACTAATATTGGAACTTGGAAAAACTCTAGTTTAGCTCCCAATCAAATTTTTCAAACACTTTTTTTCTCCAAAATATGTTTTATAACATTTATCACCCCATTTGGATTTGTGAAAACCTAAGTTCAAATACGTAATTTTATAGGCAATCCGTGTATCTGTTTGGGAAAAAATAATATTCACATTTCTATTAATTTATGAATTAATTTAAAATAATATAAATTAAATACCGTCATAAACATGAAATAAAAATGCATGGTGGTAATCATTTTAAAGTAAAAGGCATTAGTCTTGGAATAGAAAATAACCCCTTTATTTTAATTTTCAACGAAAAACTCAAATATACTTAATAATACTTATTTGTTATAACTTAATGATTAATAAACAATAGTTATTGTTCGATGATAGTGTTTCGGAGTATAATGGACTGTACAAAATATTATGACTAAACACTACTTGTACAGGAAAACAAAATATTAACTGCGTGGTGGAAAATGGGTAGGTACCAAGCAAGTGAACAGACAAAAGACATTTTTATGGTAATGGTAAAATGTAAATAATAATGAAAAATAATTCTAACAAAAACAATATAGGACATAGGTAGGACACCTATATAAATGACAATTTAAAAAAAAAACTGACCCGAGTGTATACAAAACAACAGCAAAAATGTGTAGGTATAATAAATAATGTAACAAATATGGGCGTCGCTATGACGGCCGTTTTGTTGAACAGTATGACGAAGAAATTTTAATGAGCATAAGTAAATTTGACGTGAAAGACCACGATCCTGAAGCGAATACTGAACAGATATTTCTCTATATGAGATTTGATTGTGATAATACGAGCAGTAAATTATCAGGTAGGCAATCCACTTGCAGCGGTGGATTGCAGACCCTTCTAGGTGCATACACGTAATCCCGTGCACTTCATTGCGCATTAAAAATGCCAGCTTTTTATTTTTTTGATTCCGAGCGGAGCGATGAGTGAATTGATTTTTCAATGATGTGTGTGTTTTTTTTTTTGTGTCTGTCATCACGGTTTGTTGCAGTAAAAGTGCTTCGATTTTCTTTAACGGCAACTTTTTTGGTAAGAAATTGAATCTGGTTGGTGTATTCGGGAGGTCCAAATTTAATATTCTTAATAGTTTTCAAAAGCAACAGGTAAAACAAACAGAAAAATTAAGGAAAAACGGGAATTTTTACTCAAAACCAGTCTTCGAAAAACTTCGAATTTGGTTTTCGGTGTAACTCACTGTAACTTTAAAAAAATGACCGCAGATACATGAAATTTTCACTGAATATTTGCGTTAGTGTTTTATAATATATACGCCATACAATTTTCAAAATATTTTGACTTGTGTTGAACTACTCGTATTTTTATGTATAGGCATATGAAATTTTCGATTATTATTTGTTTTTTTTTAAATTAATGTTGATAACAAATTTTTCACTCTGACATAAAACTTGTAAATGAAATGCAAGGTTCCTTTTAAGTTGTTGATAGTGCAAATTAAAAAAAAAGTTGAGCGTAAAGCCATTATATTTTTTTATGAGCATTTTAAACATAGAATTTTTACACAATTCGTAAAAATCACTAAAATTAGCAAATTATATTTAGTTAGAAATTCATACAAATTTTTCTTTTTATATCTAAGATTTAAAAATTTAATACAAGATTCTTTATAAGCTTGTCTACCTTTATCAACAAAAAATTTTTTTCCCGGAAAGTCAAATTAAATTTTTATGAGCATTTTATGTTGAAATTTTTACAACATTGGTTATTCACTCGATTTTTCTTGTAGCGATTTTCTTATATTGTTGTAATTCAAAAACAAATTACTGTGAACACTTGTAATTTACACCATATGTTTATTTCATCAATTCTCATACTTGATCAAATATTTTGAAAATGTTAACTAGTTCTAAGTTGTTGACAGACATTATTTTCAATTTTCATTTTTTTCATTTTTTTTTCTTTAAATGTCAATAAAATTTTATTGGTCGGGTCTAAAAGCATGAAAATTTAATACAAGACTCTTGATATATTTGTACAATAGCAGTTAAAGTAGTCCAATTTTACATAGTCATATTTAATAATTTTCCAGCATCACCGATAATTTAAGAATAATATTAATTAAACTCACCGGCTACCATATTAAATATTAATAATAATTAATAAGTCATAACAATATAAACTATCCTAGACTGACATACCATATCCGCTCAAAATCGTTTTTAGTAAAAAATTCTATGGTATTATTGAATTTAAATTTAATACCACCCATTACAGCGACCTCCTAGACAACTAATAAGCAGAGCGACATCCACCTACCCGCTTTTTTTTATTACGTATATGATTTTGATGCATGTTTTGATTAATCAATGGCAACCAATAAACGAAAAAAAAAATACTAATTTCTACTAATTATTTCTCCTATAGCCATATATATTATAACTTATATTATATAATTTATAATTATTATTGAATATATTCATTTATTTTATCATAACTCTTAGTTATTTTTAAAATATTTTAGATGTAAATATAAGGAAATATTTTCAAGTAATATAAAAAGATTATTTTAAAGTTGTATACCGTATGATAGTCATAAAATATTTTAAAGAAAAATGTTTCAAAATATTTACCAAGAAATATTTTTGTCATGACTATTAAAAAATATTTTGTACTTAAAATCATCACCAAAATGCTATGCACCAAAAATATCCTTCGTAATTCTCAAAATCTCTGTACCGTGTGAATCTAGATGATCATCCAGGTAACCACTCAAACACACACAAAAAATTACATTAAAATCGGTCCAGTCGCTCATTAAGACACGCATAAGAGACATAATATATTCATTTATTATAGCCTATAGGTGCATTTAGATTTAATTTGGTTATTATTATTTAATGTGAAAATAAAATATCTATAGGTAGGTACTGCAAATGTGTAATCAAATACCTATTAAGTATTAGACAATATTATACTATTATATATATACCTACCTAGGGTGGTTCTTATTTTTAAACTTTTAAATTTTTGTGACCGATCCCCCTAATTAGGTTCCAATATGTATAAAAATGACGCATACAAAATTTGAGCATAATTGGATAAGTTTAACCCGTACCCCAAAGCTCTCAAAGTTTAACATTATTAATATTTTTTAAAAATTGAGTAATTCATAAAATTAATGAACAAATTAAATTATAAATACATATTTTGTAAGGAAAAACGAATTTTAATTTTATAAGCAATTCAAAATTAGTCACTAGGTACCAATACTATATATACAGTTATAATGTATACTTTTTAAATATATAAAAAATGAATGAATTAAATCAAAATCATACAAATATACAACATACCTGCACTGTATAGTGTATACCCTGTTTCAAAAGAGAACACACCAGGCGGCCACCGGAAAAACCGATTTCCTTACGTAAAGCTGGTGTATTCTCTTTTGATACAGGGTATAGGCACAACGTGTATTTAAAATTAAAAATGTAAATACATTATAATAATATACGCAAAATCCATTTTAACGTAATCGGTGGACGGTGATATTACCAACTGTTGAAATGTTATTAAAAACACAACCGTTTTAAGAGTATTCTTTGTTAAGCGATCTGCCAATAATTAGTCTTCTGATTTCACTGGTCCCTGCACCAATTTCATACAACTTGGCATCTCTCAGAAATCTGCCTGATGCGTAATCGTTTATGTATCCATTTCCGCCTATTATGTCAGTACAAAAAAATATGCTTAACGATAATCAAATTTTTGGAGGTAAAGCTATGATACTTGCCTAAACATTGTATTGTGTCCAATGCCATCTTAACAGCGTTTTCAGCAGAAAAAAGTATCACTCCAGCACAGTCTTTGCTGCACACGTGACCTTTATCACAGGCTCTACTTACGTTGTATAGATAGTTTCTAGTGGCACTCAATGTAGTATACATATCAGCGATTTTAGCCTGAAATGTATTAAAGAAAAATATGAGTAATGAGTAAATATATATGTTTAGATGTATTTTATAATATAATCTATTTGATTAAAAGCCAACTCTGTATGAATAATATGTTGTTTTTTTGTTTTGATTGAGGACACGCCGATGAGCGGCTATAAATGCAACTCAGCCACACCTTGGTAGGTAATGTGTGAAAATTCGATTTTATATAAAGTCATACAAAGCATTGTATAAACCATTATAAGTATTTCAATAAATAAAAGTTTAACATATTTAAAGATAACCAAAGACCAAACATTTCACTATTCTATTGAAATTATCCGGAATAAATATTAAATCTTTCATCTGATATATACCTGTATTACATATTATACTATTATACTACATATTATAAGCAATATATATATATAATATCAAACAATATTTTTAGTCTATTTTAATATTTAACATTAATTGGAGGGGTACCTGAATTAATTGAAACTCTCCAATTTTAGTATTGAATTGTTCTCTAGAATGTACGTAATCAAATGTCAAGTCTATACACGCTTGCATTAATCTAAAATTTAGACATTACAAAAATTTAGAAAACATAATTCATACGTATAAAGATACCTACAGAAGTACAGGACTTCTGAATAAGAGCTTATAATAGCGATTAATGATCTAATAATTGATATATATTATTGATTCAACATACCCAACAGGCCCGCCAGCAAGCACCATCCTTTCCAAGTCTAGACCGGACATTAAAACGTATACGCCTTTATTTTCCTCACCTAATACATTTTCAACTGAAATAAACATAAAATAATATAAATATACGGTCATGTTTTGTAGAATTCAATACTAAATATTATAATATATTCATACAGTGCGTAGCCTGCAGGGGGATTCGGGTGTTTAAACTCTTCTCACTGTCTCCCCCTTAATAATTAATGTGTTAATTATATTATTTATTTACGAAAACTGTAAAAAACTTAGTTTAATTTATACTTAAAGTCCCCCTCTTATAATCCCGGATACGACACTATATTCATAGGCGAATAGGGGGAGGGGGGGGCTTGGCCAATGTCTTAAATAGTTAGTAATTTTTAAATAAATATATTTTAAATTGATAGTTATTAAACCTTTCTACATATATGGTATACACACACGGAGGACGTCACACTCCGAAGTAGTGTCTCTGTCACACAAATCTACTGAACCGTAAATTTGCGTTCAGTAGAACCAATTCGTTAAAAACCAAAAGAACACAGATACAATTGTGAACTTTAAGTAAGTTTGTTAACAAGTTAATACACGCTAATATTTAAGCTAACAATATAAAATTGGTTCTGCTGAACTCAAGTTTTATATGTCTTACGTTATACGAGTATAATAATGTATTATGGTGTGGCGGTGTCTCTACTAGAATCACAGCCTGACTGAGTGGTTCTATCCACTTTCAAAACAGCTTTTGCTATGTTGTTCAATTTTTAAGACAGAGACAACACATGTGGATGTAGTGTCCTTTTCATTATAATAATATTATTTGACATCTATAACGGTATGCCAAGGTATAGCTAGGATTAACCGGGTATATGTATGATTTTGAATCTTTGGACTTAGAATCCCAAAATTAATTTTACATAACTCACCACTTTAGTTTAGTATTAAGTATTAAAATCTAGATAACTAATAGGTATAATTGGCAAATTGTATTGCTTTTAAAAATTACAACAATTTTTGAGTACAAACAAAATTGTACCAACTATTTCATTATTTATATCTTGTGTATATTTACCAGGTACTTTGCAATCTTGGAAAATAAGTTCACAAGTGTTTGAACCTCTCATGCCAAGTTTATCGAGTTTTTGGCCAGTAGTAAACCCTTCAAAAGTTTTCTCAATTATAAATGCAGTAATACCATGCTGCTTTTTAGCATCTGGATTCGTTCTAGCGTACACCTATATAGAAAAATATTACTTTGAATCGTAATTAATAATAATAATAATTATATAATTATACAGGTACGTTTACATTTTTTATTTTAATCCAGTTGGAAATTGTACAAACAATAATATTTTCATACTAATTTTTATCATAACCAAATAAAAATGTATACCACTAGCACATCGGCGTCTGGTCCATTAGTGATCCAAAATTTACTACCATTTAGAATATAATGGGATCCTTTACGTTCTGCTTTTAACTTCATAGAAACTACATCGGAACCCGAGCCGTGTTCAGACATAGCCAGCGCTCCAACAGCTTCACCTTTGCATAACTGTAAACCAAACATAAAATATTGTTCAAATTATAAATTATGATCCAAATAACACGGGCCGTAGTAATTATATACGTATATATTATTATGATCAATAGTATTATAATATTATTAACGCACTTTTACTTAAATTCTTGATTAAAGTTTAAAAAAATATATGTATGATCGTATATTCGTATAAAGTGTATAATGTTATACAAACCCGTGGTAAGTATTTGGCCTTTTGTTCTTGCGTACCGTTCAATCGAATTTGGTTCATGCAAAGGTTAGTGTTAGCAGCGTAGCTCAAGCCCACAGATCCGCTGGCTCTAGAAATCTCTTCCGTGGCAATTACATGATCGGTATAACTGCCTCCGGTACCTTCGTATTCTGTTGGAATGGTAATGCCCAGAAGACCTAACGATCCCAGTTCCAGCCAGCATTTCTGTGAAACAATTTGACAACAGACCAATTATCGTGAAAATTGTATACATGACTTAGGTACCTAGTTAGATACTTATGTATTATATATTGTACATTTATACATATAGAAAATAACTGAATTATTTAATATACTTAAATGTTACATAATCGTGTATTCTTGTGCAACATTTTTCTTACCCACCAAATGTATTTTAACACATTTCCGAAAAGACCAAAAGAATTATATTTACGTTCCTGTTCCTAAAAATAAGGAATTAATTCACTTCCTTATTCCTTTACAAATTAAAAGTTTAAAACATAATAGAATTCATTCCTTCATTCGTTCTTCTAAAAAGGAATCAATTCTAGGAATCGTTCCTTAACAACACTGAATTAAAATATGAACTTGTATGTAACTTTCGATAAAAACAAATCATATGAAGTCCAGAAGTAGCATTAAAATCTAAAAAAACTCAAAATATGCAAAATAAAATGTTCAATTTGTTCAATTCCCTGAATTATGAAACAAATTTTAAGCTTACTCTGCTATCACTAAGAATTTTTTAAGAAATATACAAACGCCATAAAATCCTAACCCAGAACCCTGGTAATACATTTGAATTAATTGTAATGCTAGTACAAAAGGCACAAGGAAAGGAATTTGTGGGACAACGGGGAGATAACCTCCCCCCCACCCACCTCTGAAGAGTTTATATGTTGGCAATATATTAAATATTATATTTTATACAGGTAAGTATAGGTACATAGAAATATCAGCCCACACTCCACCTGCAAGAGGAATCAAAAGTTTCAAAACACATAATCAATAATGAATAATCATTAAACGTCAGTGTGTATTATACTAATACGTTGAGATACATTTATTTATTTGGTTTCATCCAAAAAGGTCGGTAAACTATAACCGAACTTCGAACACTATTTTTAATCTACAAACCAGATGTATTATGAACGTCAAAAACTTTTACTTAGTTTACCAGAAATGGTAGAAATACTACATTTGATTTTAAATTGTGATTCTAATCAACCGAAATGAAAAAATGACTGATGTTTACAAAGAATATGAAATTACTATTGTTATTGTAACATATACTGACATGTAAAAAAATTATTATGTACTTGTGAATGGTACTTGGCTAACAGAAATTTCTTTTAGATATATATTTTACAACTAAAAATATTTTTATGAACTTAATTATAAAGTGTATGGTTTTTGGATACAACAACCATAAAAAGTGTAAGCTGGTTTGTTCTGTATTTTATCTATAGGGAACATTGTATGCATTTTAATATTTTATTTATTTTTATATGTATAAAAGACTAGTTTAGCAAGTAGTTAGCTACATTTTATATTTGGATATGAATATAATAATATGATAATGTTTAATAATATTTACTGAAACAACAACGCATTAATTACAATAACGTTATATGTACGCAAATATAATATTATTATCTTATTCGTTACCTTCAACTTGTTCAAGAATAACAACTAACGAGAAAAATATTAACTGTCTACATATTATTACCTAATACCCACGTATACCATGTATGTAATACCTTCTACAAAATAGGTATAGTTGGTGTAGCTAATATAATACTTATATAGGTAATAATAATATGTTATACATTTAACTCATACAAAATAGCATTAAATTACCCTTAGGTCATTGAACGTGTTTGTCTTGTCTATTTCAGCCGCTTTTGGTGCTATTTCTCTCTGCGCATAATCAAAAACGGTTTTCCGTAACTGAAAATAGGTAACCCAAATTAATAAAATTTAATGTCAACAATCTTTTATCTTAATTCTATAGTTATATACCTCTACATTAATATATCCCAATATGTTAATATCAGCCTACTAATTTTTTGCATCTCATTTTATGTCTATTCAAATATTTATTAATAAAGATACCTACCTATTTTACTATTTTATATATTATGTATTTTTGTAAATCTCTATAAATTCTAATAACCAACAGTTAAAGATTTATTGATAAATATTATGAGATTCATCTTTATTTTATGATAAATATTGATCTTTAGTCTCTACATAATGTATAAATGTCAACAATACGAACTCTTAATTAGCTGTACCTTACCACTAAAATACTAAATACTAATCAATAATAACCTTTTATTATTATAATAAAATCACGTACCTATTATTAGTTATTTTATTTTATAGTAAACTTAGATCTACCTAATTATTTTGTAAGTATATCATTTTAAAATTTATAGTAGGTATCTTAGAATATTTTTTTTTATTCATTTAAATATTTTGCCTTACCTGAATTTGTTCATCGTTGAGGTTAAACAAAACATCGTCGATTGGATAGTGCGACAAAAATCGACGTGCTATTGTTCGATGACAGAAGCTTGTATGTAAAAAACTGCCAATTCTAACAACTGAATTACTCATATTTTGGGCTGTTTAATCCGTGTAGGCAAACTTATTATAATGTACGATTAAAAATTTAAAAAGTAGATTTATAATGTAGGTACCTATGTATATTATATTATAATCATAATATATTATTAAGAGGTATATTATAGTCAATTATTGGATATACATCGCGCATGCCGTATAGATTATTGAAACTGAAAGTGTTTACCTGCCTGACTGCAGTGAAATTAATCATTATTCATTAAACAGTTAATAAGACCAACCCACAATTATAGTAAATAACCAATAGACAGGAGTAAAATAGGTAATAAAGTACAAGCTAATAAAGTAATAACTAATGAGTACCTAATACACGTGATCTGTTACCGAATACCGATTAGATAACTGCAGTACACATGTATAATAGTATGTTATTTTATTTAATTTGTTCACGCAATAATAAATTATTGTTGTACGTGAAATAGGCTTAGGCGGAAATCGATTACAATTTCAGGAGGGACTAACATTATTAACAACAATGTGAGCGGGGGGCTTCGATTCCATATACGTGTATCTAATTTTCCCTAACGGTGTCCAATAGTGAGCTTTTGGATTTGACTCCGAAAGAGCGTGTGGAACGCGACTCCTTGCGCCTTACGGAATAAAAAACAAGTCGATTTTTTTCAAAAAATTATTGTTGATGTATACTGGCTAAAAATAAATAAATAAGTATAAAATGTAATTAAAAATATAAATTGTATATTATGTATGTATACAGGTTTAAAATAGGTAAATAATCTTTAATTTAATTCAATTTAATTTTTTTGAACCCCATCAACACGGAAATACTGTGAACACTGAAAAATTTCATGGTCCCAAGCTGTACAATTAAAAAGTTATATTTTAATTTTTTGTTTTATGGGGGGGGGGGGAGCTTATCCCAGGATTGCCTCCTATGGTGACAGCACTTTGGTATATTATCTAAACAACATATCTACAGTTCATACTTCTTATTATAGGAGACTAGCAATCACTAATTGATAGTGTTGGCTTGTTGGGAAACTGATAAAGGTGTTATTTAGTATTCTAAGGTTAACAGGTTAATACGTTATTATTTGATTTTGTTATAAATGTAGGTAATAGTAAATCATAATCAAAACCCATCACTTACATATTGAACACTAATAAGCAAAGCAAATAATTTTAAATAAAACTTGCAAAATATACTTAGATGGGTTTTATTCAATATATTTTTTTGTTGATTTTTCATTAACACTTTTTTAAAGTTTCAAGTAGCCCTTGAAGTTTTATTCTAGCAGTCAATAGATACCTAAATACCTACTCTGAAGAAATTGTTTCTAATTTTCTCATTATTTTTACCTAAACATAAACTGACAACAGTAGAATATTTTTGAAAAAATAAAAATGTAATCAAGTATTCGAGTTCTATGTTAACAGAGTTCCTATTGAAATGGTTTTTAGAATTTATAAAAATGATTTAAAAACATTGTTTTTACTGATTTAACAGCTTTGGATTAAAACCAATAGATATTTGATGAACAAAGTGTTTATTATATTCTTTTTATAATTACACACAGATTATATTAATACATACATTTAGTTTAAATTATAACTTAATTGAAAAAAACAATATATGTTAATAATACTACAAGTCTTTGTTTCATATTTTATCTAAATAATATTCTTATAAGTAGTTTATATAATAATGAGATGAGATGAGATTATTTAAATAATACATAATAGTTAGTTTAGTTATGAATAATTTATAATTAAAAGTTGGTCCTTACATACATATTGAAATCCTAGATCTACGCTATAAGAAAACTCAACAGTTATTAACTATATTGTTATAATGTTGTTCACAAAAAAATAATGTCATTTTTAGAGAGTAAATTTTAGAGATATAAGTCACAAAGGAAATAGGAAACACTTAACATTTTAAAAGCTATGAAGAGCTATGAAATATTAGCTTAATCACTTTAATATCATTAGTTTTATAATACCTAATTTATAAAATCAATGATAATGCTTAATAATACTGAGAAATTTCTAGTAATTAATCACCATACCAATCATTTGCATTTTTAACTTTATCAATAATACTTTCTACTTTACTTAATGACTCACTGATTCTTCTAAGAACTTCTTCATCATTGACAAAATCTATTTTGCCAAGAATTCGTTTTAATTTTAACAAAATGTTTGTTTTCATATCTTCAACATCCAGTTTTTCTTCTTTCAGTTCATCCATATCAATTAATGACCTTTTGTTAAAAATGCCTAACATATGTACATGTTCACATATAGTTATTTCTCCTTGTGTGCATGAACATTCGTAAATATGGGCACAGATATTATAACATGCTTGACACTTGACCGTGCAATCAATGATTTTACAAAACTTTCGAGTAATTGTTACATAACCATTATTTGTACCATCTTCTAGTGTAACCCGCCACTTGTTATCAGAGAGGGGGAAAATAAGTCTAGATGGATAACACATGGCGTTTTTGTGATTGTTGGAAATTTTAATATTGATTTCTTCAATTTTTGATTTTCTATTTTTCTGAATTTCTAAGAGAGCTGTAAAAAAAATGTGCATATTTTTAGACAAATTTGGAGTAAAATGTTTTTTGTTGTTTTCACACAGTACTATCATTTGATTATAAACTGTGTTAATGTTTATCATTTGATTTAAGTTAAGAGATTCTTTTAAATAACAGAAAGCCCACATATCTGCTCTACTAGCAAACATCTGATCAAAAAATATTCCAAATGGTTTTGTTTCATTGTTCATCTTTAAGTTATTATTAATATAACTTATAATTTCTTCTTTCATACTTTCATCAGATCCATTAAAAAATAAACATATTTTATCATAAATTTCATGTTGTAAATCTTGATTTTCAATATCAGTTTGAAGCTTTTCTATTATTTGATTATCAATATATCTTTGGTTAATAACATGCTTAACTGGTGACATAATTGAACACCAACTTTCATATAAGTCATAGTTGTCATCAGTGATTAATGCTTTAGCATAAATAGAGCCCATTTTATTAAAAATTGTATTTAAAAAAAATGATTGATAAATTTTACTATCATTACACATCATGAAACATACTGGAAGCATCACATTGAATTCATCACACACATACAATACAGTCAAATACAATCGAGCACAAACCATACTCATTTCAGTCACCATGAATATTCCATCAGTTCCAAATTTATTTATCCAATTGTACTGATTTTGAGTCATAAATATTAACATAACATCATTAGGTTCAAAGTTTTCACAATTTACATTATTAGGCTTGTAAAACAATATAGGATTGTAAGGAGTTCGTTGTAATTTCATAATCCACCTATCTGTGCTGAGATCATTAATTGTCCTTTGTTTTATAAATTCTGGATGCCGAATTCCCAATTTCCGTTCAATATTCTTAATATCTTTTCTATTTAACATATGAACACGTCCCAGCGAATCTGATGCCTTGGCACGAGCAGCGTTGATGACAAAGTCTGGATGATCTCCTTGTTGAACTAATTCAGTAATTTCTTCTCGTTCACGTTTGGTCATTCTCATATGTTCAGATGATATATCATGACCATAGTGAGTAGCACACAATAATATTTCAACAGAGCCATCTTTGTTTTGGACTTCTTTAATAGATGCTGTACATAATCCTTTTACTTTAACTGGAGTACTTCGCTTTCGCACTCCCTTAGACTTACTAGTAAAATATGTAGACCGATTGCAGTAGTAATAAGAAAGTTTTTTACCATCCTGAAGTGTCTTGCAACCAGTAACGCGGACGTAACGACTATTATTTTCTTGTTCAAAGTCTTCTTTCCATGTTAGAAATTCTGAAAATGTATTTACTATTAAGATAAGTACACAAAACAGATTATTAATGTATATACATTATTCAGAGTAAAATGCACATATAATTCAAAAAGTAGGATAAGTTTTGGAGAAGAATTATCTGAGGAGTTTTCGGTAACGACTGGTCTCAAACAAGGTGATGCTTAATCACTTTCACTGTTCAACATCGCCCTAGAATCAGTAATGAGGGTAGTAATGTCCCAAGCCACATGTATGGGGATCAAAAGGACAAATAACTGCAGGGAAACCAAACACAAAGAGACCCAGAAAAAGATGGGCAGACAGAATAAAAGAAGACATGAAAGATATTGGGAGTTAGGAATGCAGAAGAAACGGCCAAACACAGAGAGGATTGGAGACAATAGGTTGTTGAGGCAATGGGCACGAAAGGCCTGTAAAAAGCCCAAGAAGAAGAAAAGATTCATAGTTTAATGTCTATTATTGTCTTACCATCTTCTAATGAGAACTTCAGACAGCGTATGTCAAAATCAATACAATGATCAAATTTTAAATGACTAATAAAGAGCTGTTTATTGTAAAATTTACATTTGCATCCTTTTTCCAAACATTGTAAATCAGTGCATTTTCTAGGTCTTTTTGTTATAACACCTGATATAGTTTTACTTCCATTGTGCATAGAATCAAGATGATTTTTTAGGCTTGTTTTATTACGAAACAAAAATCCACAAAGAGCACATTCCACAGTAGGATACCTAAAAAACATTAAAAGACATTAAATAATAATGTAAATTTGTTTTATAGTTATGATTGTTATATTTCTGGCTTTTTTTTCACTCTATAAACAAAGTTAGGTACTTAGGTATAGTTTAATATACGTTAATTTAAATTTGAAACTTTATCCTATAAATTATACAAATATTACTATATTGTACAATGCAGATAATTAAATAATCAAACACTTTCAAACAACTGTAGATTTTAACATAAAAATAAATTACTATAAAATAGGTATTCCAATGTTACAATGGCAATTGATGCCATTTGAAAAACAATTTATGTTACTATCAATTTACTAATAAAAAACATCATTAAAAAAGCCTTCAAACATTTTGGCACCAATAATTAAAACTAAAATTACACACCTACTTTGTATTTATTATGAAATGTCATATTAAAGTAAGGGTTACATGAGCCAAAGGGTTTAATTTTAAAGCAGCTGCTTCAGCTTTTCATAAGAGGTGGGGCCACCTCGTGACCGTGGAGCGATTCCCAGGGCCCAACCTCTTGGCTCTTTCGGCCACATTTTATTAGTAAAAATGGTGGGGGGATGGTAAGTACTTAATTATGAAAATGCATCATTTAAAATTTAAGTTCAGTCCGCCACTGCTAATTGCAAGTAAAATAAGATCATAAATATCTAATATTAATTTTTAAGTTGACATAGTTCAAACTTATGGTTTAAATAAGTAATAATGTATATATGTGTTCCAATATTACATTTAAATTGTATGCCAGACATACTCCATTTAAATACGAAATGTCATATGTCAATATACCTTAAAACTACCAAGTTGAATTGACCAAAAAATGTTTAATGAATCTAAATACTTTAATTCAATTATTTTATGTCCAACAAGTCAACAATATTTAACCAGACTTTATGTGCCATAACAAAATTAATCATAAGTCAGAACATGGTAAAATGGTAAAATATTGTGATTACATTCAGCGTTTTGCAGTAAAATTCAAAAATGATCTGTTTATAACTGTAGACAATACTTAGCTACTTAGGTTTTATTTTCTGCCAACTTACTTTTTAATGTTTTCATAGTCAATGTTCACCATAATGGCAATAACAATGAACAAAAATGTTCAATAATTTTAATTTCTTATAATGTTAGCGATAATCATACACTTCAGAACACAGAAATTATAGTCATTAACTAAACGACCGATATATTTGAAATCCTCTATAATAACCAACTGTGCCATGTAATTATCGAACGCATCAAATAATTGCAATTTACAATTAGACATTTGCACTTTGCGGTTTGCCAGTTTTGCACCCTTTCTCATCAACTTTTGAGTTATAAATTATGATACGATGTTCTCGTAAACATAAGCAGACAACAACTTTGTTATCAACTAAAAAATAATAATAAATAACGACAATAGAGTGATAGCACAGAATAACCGTATAAGATTACAAGAGATAAGGAGACGGACCCCACAAATATTTATTATTATTTATTACCTATAAAGAAACGTTTGCTCTTAACATACACATTACACATTAATTGATTTTAATTACTGAAAACATTATTATGCAAACAATCTGAATTATATAAATTTATATACATATAGGATTCAATGTATCTAATCTAATGCTACCATTTGTAGTTTTGTACATTGTACCATGCTGGTTTATTTTATGGTGTTGTACTGACCACGTACTTAGATATATACTATGCAGTGATGGTTCCATACATTTTTAATTCGATATTAATATTTACGAAGTATCATATTTTCCAAAGTATTTGGATACATAAAATTGAATTTCCAACGATAGTAGTTCATTAGTTATACATATATTATGTACCAACATTTGATAGAGCATTGTTTTGGGGAAGGGCTAAATAAAATAATTTGAAGTCCGTTAGCCCTCTGGGGAGTATCTCAACTACTATGATGTGTAAAAACAATTATATATTATTTAATTTCAAAACTATCATAAAAATTAGTTTTTAAAAAATGCAAAAAATTTGTCAGAAGTGGGATTCGAACCCACGCCCTCAGATGAGGACCAGAACGCTCAAATTAAGCCTACATGGTAGGCCAAGGTACACCTTGAGTCTGGCGCCTTAGACCGCTCGGCCATCCTGACATGTGTGGCAATTGCTCAAATTGAACTATCTGTATGAGCACATCGCTATAGTAATACCTAACTTGTTTATTTTTAAACATTTTTTTATTGACATTTTCATTCATGCTTTTTTAGTTCGTGTTTATAAATATTTTTCGTTTGAGTTTTATCGATAGTATAGCAGAATCAGTACACCTTTTGGTAATTTAGTGTATCTAATATTAAGTAAATTTAAAATAAATTACTGATACATTTTTGTTATAGCACATTCAATAAGTCAGTGTCGTAGCCAGCGGGTAGGCCCAGACCTACCCAATTTTTTCCAAAAAAAAAATTTTTTTGTCCTATTAAATGTGTAGTGTACATGACTATAATATATATTTAAAATAATAGAATTAACATATTGTAAATACGGTTTTAATTAACAAAATTAAATCCCGATGGTTTTTAATCGGTTCTGCAAATCAGTTAATGACACGTCTTTTATTTTGAGTGTTGTGGTTTAATAACCGATCAATTCCTGTTAATCGGCGGCATCCGTCGAAATTTACAGCGCATCAAAGCCAGTGAATAATATAATATTATAGCCCGACAGCCCGTATTGCCCGTTACCTGAATATATTCAACTATAATTACCAATATGATAGATCTTAATATCTTATCCATTCAATTGACGATTATTTCCAAAAATAACGAGACTGTAATATAAGTTGTAGTCGGATAGATACGCTTGCGATTGTCGATTAGTTTAAATAGTTTAATACTAATCGCACTGCGTCACTGCGAACACCTTTAGTACAACGTAGTGATTATATTTCGCTTTTATTTTTACTTAATCCGTCGCGCTGCTCATTTTTGAGAAATGAAACGTTTTTTAATCACATCAGGTAATTTAAAATCAACTGCTGTTTCAACTGTTTCGGTTTCTGAGCCTAATGACCATGGATCAAGTGCGCGTACTCCAATATCAGATGCAAATAAACAGTTGAATTTAAAAATTTTTGATATTAGTGTAACTTGTGAGGATACTGCTGTACAATCTGTCATCAGTTTTCCAGGTGAATTATCAGGATTCTCAATCTTCAGACTGAACCACGATTTAAGATATAATCGTTGGTAAATATAATTGTTTTTATTCCTACCTAATGATACATGTAGGTAAGTATTATTACTATCGTCTATCATAATGGGAATAATAATAATATTTAAAAAAGAAAAAAGAGAGTAAGTGGGTAACACTCTGCTATACATGGTAATTAGGTTTTTAGATACTATAGAGAGTCATTGATATGGTTAAATTTGAAATCAATAATCATTGTAAACGATAAATGATTCTGAATGAAGACAGTCCGTCAGCCTTTAATATTACAAAGTAAATTGTATGATATTGTGATTTAAGTAATTGATTTTATTATTAAGCATTAGTAGTGGCCATTAGTACCTACTACAATAGGTTAAATCTTAAATATATTTTTACCAAAAAAATTGCATTTGAAAATGTCACTGTGTATTTACTATATACAATATAATAATGTACTCTAAAAGTCTCAAGTACCCACAAATAATATTTTAAAATTACAAAGAATTAACTACAACCATTATTCTTAGTTTTAATATGTGATTTCGTCAAAGTTTGAACTTAAAATGTCTGTAAAAAATAACTGTGTTAATATATTTTTTAGATGTTTTGGTTACAGTATGAACTATTCAGTTATATAATATGTAATACGTCCACCACAACGTGCAAACTATCGAACTAGGTAAAAATATTTTTAATAGAAATGTACCTAGTGTAAAAGTACGAGAATAAAATTGAAGAACCAGTTTTGGGGCCCCTTAAAATATTTCTCTATAAAAATACTATCTATCCATCCCTGTATATAGGGCGTATTTATGAGTGTAGATAGGTATCTATGGCGTACAAGATGCGACTGTGCATGCATTCGATTTTTGCGAATTTTTAGTTTGTGAGGCACCCAGATTGTTAACATTACAATATTTGATCAGATTTGATTTACTTTGTGTGCAAACAAAAGTGCAATATCAATTAAAGCCGGTTATCAGTTATAACTTATAAGTATGATAACTTATAAGCAGGGCTGGAGACTTGCAACATTTGCTTATTATTTTTGGGTCTAGCAGATATAGTGTCACGGAAACTCATGTCAATATGTTACAATGATCTCAAATATAAGGTAAATTTGAATTGTTGTTTTTTTATTGAACTTGTATTATTTTAAAAAATAGGGACACATTATACAGTTAGGGATATGTCTTAATATGCAGTTATATTTATCAAATGATTATTAGTGTCATTATAGATAGTAAAATATTACGATTAATTATCATGAAGTAATTAAGTCTGTGTCAGACCATGTGAGCTAAAAAATGAATAATCTTGTTAAATGTTACTTAAATAAATTTATTCTCAAATAAACTGATAAGTGCTGATTTGAATGAGTACACACGAATAAAACGGTTTTATTGAAATGAGTATTTGTATTCGATATTTGCACAATTTAAAAATTAAAGAAAGATTTTTAGGTTTTGTCGTATTGAACGAATTAAATGCTCAAACACTGTGTGATGGCATAATATTTTTTTTAAATAATGTTTTCAATCATATGACGATGAGTCATTAATGCCCGGAGCTTTTTCTAGTGTTCAAACAAAAATAAGGGAATTAGCACAAAATTCGTGTCCGTATATTCATTGTTATGCTCATAGGTTAAACCTAGTTTTAGTTGATGTAACGAAAAATATTCTAGAAGTAGATGAAATACTTGGTTTATTAGAAGCTATTTATGCATTCCAATCGGTATCTACAATGATGCTTTTTTACAAGAAACCAAGTATAAAGTAGCACAACATTGTGAAACAAGGTGGGTTTCAAAACACAAGGGTATTACATAAAAAAAAAATCATTTTATTAATATTTTAAAAGTTCTTAATGCATTTAGAGAAAGTACTAAAAATCAAGAAGCTGCAGAGGCAAAGGGTGTGGCCATATAGTTTGCTAAGTTTGAAGTTGGAGAAATATATCCGTAATGGTGGTTCTGCGATTACTACTCAGCGAGCGCCGAGCATTTCGCATTCGATTTCAACTTGGCTGACATGATCCTGTTCCGGATAGAAAAACAATTCAAGTTTGGTTATCAAACTTTAGAGCAACGGGTTCTGCGCTAAAGAGGAAATCGCCTGGCCGACCTTTAACCGCAACAACGCAGTATAATGTGGCACGTGTTAGTGCGTCTATCCAGCTTGTAATTGCCTTTTAAAATATTTTTGCCGGACCCTGTAGAAGAGCATAATTCAATCGTTTAAATGTTATTTAAACATTTTCGAATGCCTATTATCAACATTGTTATAGTAAACTATCATAAGTTTAACTTTCATATTATTATTATATATTTATACAGATATTTCATGGATTCAACATGTAGATCGTCATATACCAATGTGTATAATAATATCTACTATATATTATCAAAGATTTTGAATTGTTATCATTATTCACTATATGAATAAGTTCTGTGAGTGCATATCAAAAAACATTTAGTTAAGTTTAAGTATGTTGTAATTCATGTGTTATATGCTTGGTCAGTATAACTATCTATATTACCTTTATTTATAAATTATAACTGACGGCGAAACAACGACATCGTCGACCCGAATAATTTATAATATTTTCAATTAGGCAGTTGACAAAAAAGTGTTCAACTTTCAAAATCATGTGCAGTGTGATTAAAATCGTAAGCCATACATTACACATTTTCCAAACAGCATTACAGCAAACCTTGCAAGGTCGTAAATATAAATAGTTTTGAGGATAATATACGAGTATATAACATTATAACCTACCTATTCATATTGTATACCTATATGGCTATATGCCTACCTATACCTACGACCTACGTACTTGACTTTTATACGACAGCTCAGCATTGGAACAGTCAATATAGTATTATTATTATTATTATTATTATTATTATTATTATTATTATTATTATTATTATTATTATTTCTCAGTACACAGAAATAGATAATAGATAATATAATATGAAGGTAATGCCGGCGATTGTATACAATAGGTATACTTAAAATATCACGTACTACATCGCTCATCAGTGCACCACGTCTCACATTGTGCATTATATAATATACTAAGCCAGTGTTGGCATAAGGCAGACTTATACACCATATAAGAATAAGAAAATGTGATGATATTTACAGCGCGAGTCACGTATTAAAGTATCGTTCAAATGTCGTCCGAGTTTTGTGAGCGACTGACTTTGTCGCAAAACATGATAATAATAATGTGTTCCGGACAATTGGTCAATAAATTTAAAACATAGGAATAAAATATTTCCCTCATTTTTAAAATAATAAAAGTACAAAAAAAAACAGAATTTTCAAATTTAATATTTGAAATAATTGTAACATAATGTTGACATGAGTTTCAGTGGCACTATCTGCTAAAGCCAAAAATAAATGATAATTAGGAAATTGCAACTCTCCAGCATTGCTTATAAGTTATAACACTTATAACTAAAGACCGACTTTAATTGATATTTCACTTGTGTTTGCACACTAGATGAATCAAATCTGATCAAATATTGTGTTGTATAAAGTATCAACCTGAGTTATGTACTTTCTGCATATTTCATTTCAGAACGTAGTTTTTCTTTGTACAAAACAAACATATTTTAAGTAATATATGATATAACTGTAAAGAACCTAATTATTTGAAAATCTATTTGAATATCAATTTATAACAGTCTTCAAATTCGCTTGTTTCCCTGACTTTGGGCGATGTTGCTGGTAGTTCGGGCGCCGATTACAGGGACGTCCACCATAACGTGTTAACTCCTTTCAGCGTATATCCATCGAACTCACAGCACCATTATACTGTAGCGCCGCGTTGGATCCTGCGTCTTTTGGAACGGACATCTCGAGGTCCAATGGACTGAATGGGGGTCCATTTTGTGTCAGCACGTCAGAAAGCTCAAAAGGCTTGCAGGGCAGCTCGGCCGCAGCGGACCAACACTGGCGGTAGACTATTCGGAGTCTCCTGCTGCGGCTGGTTGATGACAAGAAGTCGTGGCCACGTTCGGCGTAGACTCGTGTCTTTTCAACGTCGGTCAAGGTTAGGTTAGACGATGTATTACCTACAATAAAATAATATTTTATTATTATAAGTTTACAATTTTGACTTAATTTTACAATTGTTGTTTTTTATGTATTTATAAACACACTGGTCATATTTTATGTACACTTGTATAACATTATGGATGATTCGTTGTTATGCAAAATGCCGTCATCTTGTTATCATATGTACTTTTAAACAAACGTTATTGTTTTCACTTTATATCAATCTTTCTAAGTGAGCACTAAATTTTTTTTTGTGTAAAAAATTGTGTGTGTTTTTTTTTCGATTTTGATTTGTAATTCAAAATATTAAGTACGCAATACGTACCTACTTACGTTTGAAAATATCGTCGTAATAGAAAATAAAAATGAACTATTCAGAGATAGTAATTATACCCTACAATATTAAATAATTTTAATTTTATAAAATTAGGAATTTTTATTGTTTAATAAAACATACATTAATGTACAGGAGTTATTTAGTATATAGAATCTTTTAAATTTCATGACACAAAATGGAGATTATATTAAATTTGCACTTTACAATATAGGTACCTATAATTATCTCAACTAGTACTTGTATAATAATTAAAAATATGTTCCATTTTCAAAATGAGCCATATTTTTCTTAATTCTATATCTATCTAAATGTACTCTATTATAAATTCATAAGTCATAACTCATAACTTATCTTATTGACATTGTTATAGACACAAGTACACAATTCTTAGTTATGTTTTATTAGATGACTGTTATACAGTATACAAATATAAAATTAATATATTTAAATATTATTTTATTAATTGAAATACAGAGAAGGGTATATTGTAGTATTTCGAATTACATTAAATACTAATAGATAGACCATTAAATGGTAAATAAATAAATGAATTATAAATTATAAGTATAATATTATATATCATACTATATTATTACAAATTGCAGGCTTACATTTTTCTAAAAACATTTGTTTAATCATCATTGTCCATCACTAAGATATGTATTCTAGATGTAGGTATACCGTATATTTATAATATATTATTTAAATTGGAAACAATTAAAGTAGTGTTCTTTTCTCTCATGAAGTAATAATCATAGAATCAAGGCTTAGTGAACTGTATATCGTATATTCCTAATCATTATTTTGACTTCTGGTTCACCCGGAGATGTCCGATTGCGATTAGAATTCAGGTAGGTATATCAGGATATTGCGTCCAAATAGAAGACTTATTACTTGTCTTCTATTTGGACGCAAGTATAGTATTTAGTATATACTTAGTATAGGTGCCTATTTCGATTGCGTCCTAACCATGAAATATGAAAATATAATTTCATAAATACTTGTGAGTCTTTAAAAATAATTAATAAATAAAAATGTAGAATAACAATATTAATACAATAAACTCATAATAGTTTAATATAATAGTACTCAAATATTCCTCAATAAGACTTAAGAAAATTCAAAAATGCATTATTATGGAATAAAGTAGTTATCTAATATACAGATAAATAATGCATCATAATATATTCCGGTTGTATATAACATACGTCTATATTGTCTAATGTCTATCGAGTTATTTTGTAAACATTGGCCTGTTGGTATATGACAGCACAACTTAAATGTTTCTATATGAATGTAATATGCAATCCTCCATCTAGTTGTTTTTTATATCTAAAATTAAAACAAAATCAAAAAAGGACAGACTCCACTAACCCAACCTATAGTGCTTTATATAGTTTTTTAATAGCCTAAGAAATATTTGGACAGTTTGAACTTACCTTTTTGTTGTTGTCTAAACTTAATACTGTCTGTAGAATTGGTGGACCTAATGAGTACAATAAAAAAATCGGAACTCATGTAAAGTGTAGAGTGAGGGGAATTAAAAAAATTAACTGACTTTAGCACATAAGCCACCAACATCAAATGATTCCAGATTATTTAAAGATGTTTTAAAAATCAAACTCACTCAAACATAAAAAACTTTTTAAAGTTAATACAAAAAAAATAAAAATAAAAATTTTTTTTTTATATTTGAGACCTAATTTATATGATATAATACATTTTTTATAATAACAAAATACTGTCTAATAATGGACATTTAAAAAATTATTGATAAAATTACGATTTGAAATTTTCGCTCGAGGGAAGCTTATATATATTATTTTCCTTGAACTTTTTCGAGGTTCCGTTAGGTGACGTTTCAAAACTACCTGATCTGCGGTGAAAACGATTGCCTATACCTTTGTCCCCAACAAAAAAGGTCTGATGGAAAATCAATGCAATACCATTATTTTATGATGTGAAATTTAAATATAATAATATCATAATAAGATTTATGTTCACGGCCGCAGATGGACATGTTGTACGCACGTCCCATGCCGGTGGCCGATCACTTTATGGCGTCCTGCGCCTATGACGGCGGACAAACGGTCACCGAACCTTACTTGGGTGAAGTTTGCGAAACGTGCTACGCACATTTTGCAGCCGGAAAGACGGAATTGTGGAGGCACGCTCGCGATGAGCACGGCGCAGACCCGACCCTATCATGTCACGTGCCCGGCTGTGGCCGTCGATTTTTCGCTGCGGCCATGTGCGCAGATCACCGTGCTCACCACTGTGGCGGCGGCGTTCAGCGCGCCGATCACGACATCGAGGGCCCCAATGACCGGCCGCCGTTGACGTGCGAACTGTGCGGCCACCTGTCCGATGACCGGTCCAAGTACGACAGACACGTGAAAGCGGCGCACCCCGAAGCCCAGGCCGCCATGTGCGGCGTGTGTCACTCGTACGAGGGTGACGTGTGGTCGCTCATCGACCACGTGCAGCGCCGGCACGCCCTCGAGATCTGTCCCGAGACCACGACAGAGACGACGGACAGTGAATCCGATCCGAAGCGGCCTCACCAGCGGAGCATAATACGGTGCACTGTGTGTGGCAAGCGCTACGGCAACAACCGCAACATGTATGCCCACAGGCTGGTGCACGGCCTCGCCGACGACGTTATCCCTGCCCATTCACAGCCTCACTCGTCCGGTGCACCCACAGCTATGTGCAGTAGTCCGGTGAATCCGTAGCAGCTGCAGTAGTCTGTTACAGTCACATTATCGTGGTCTCTGTTGTTGCATAAGTAGTGCATGATCGATGCGCTTGATACATCATCATATACTAATTACTTATACTTATTATGTCGCAATAAGAATGTTCAGTACATATTAATAATACTTGTTGCATTTATTGTATTATACCTACATGTATATATGTTTTATATTCATTATAATATAACGACACGTTATTTACGCGTTCTTTGCGGCTACTTGCAGCGTTTTGTTTTTTATATCTGCACATTTCTGAGGAGTATAAATATTCTATAATAAATGTATTACTTATATCATAATAATATACTACATAGGTACTTCAGTACTTGGGGTACCTACTCAATTTTTGGTTCGAATACATTTTTTCACACGCTTTGTTAATTGTTGCACTTCATTGTTTTGGACACCTACATAGTACGATTATAACTGCGATTGGATCTATTGACAGACTCAGCAATTATTTTCATATAATATCTTGACGAGATATAATAATAATATTAATACAATTGTATAGGATTTATCGAATGAGTAGGTGAGGTGTGAGTGTGTGACTGATAAAGTTTCTATGTATAGATTTATTTTATTAAAAGTGACAAGATTGTACAAATTATTACATATTTTACAACACAGTTAAGTTGTTGTTAAATTGACCAATTGTAAACATAAGTTGTTTCTTATTTTGTATTTGCCTGGCCTCGCATTGTAATATTAGTAACAACATATTTATCTTAAACACTACGCATTGTTATACTGCTGTAGTACGACAGTGTACCTACAATATGATTAAGACTGTAAACTGACTAATTAACTAGGTACTAATATTTTGACCCGCCGCTAAGCGATTATCAATAAATAGTTATATAGAATAATGGGAAACGGTTACCGATGATAATGGTCCAATGTTCATTTGTAATCCGTATGGGTAATGGTATGCTATATACTATATTATAGTATATATTATATTCGTTCACGGTATACATGGACATATTATGGTATACATCGAAAACTCGAATGTTGGAAAATGCTGCAGCAGTACGGTTATGGTATAGGTACAAACATTGAACAGTCGCGATTCATTCGTTTCTCGTTTTAGTTTGCATAATAATATATTATGTTATTATCAGAATAAATCATTTTTCATATGTTTTGGAATTTAGGCAAGTGGTTTATTTTTCTGCGTGCATATATAAATATATTTATATATGTATAATTATATAACATATTCTACTATCCAGAAGTCTAAGCTCGTGTCATTTGTGGTTCCCGTCGACTGAAATGTATACCTGTGTTGTTTGTTTTTAATTACATATTTATTGTTGCAACGTCCATGTATAGGTAATATATATTATAAATAAATATTAAATATACTAGCTATCCCACCCGGCGTTGCCCGTGACAAAGTTTTTTTTATATGCAAATATAATATTATATATTATTTTAGTTTAATGTTTTTGGAGTGTTAAATTTACTAAAAGTTTAGGCCATTATCTGAATTATTTTAACAGTTAAAATAAATATCAATGAAGGTTTTTATAACTAGTTATGTAGTTGATTTATTAAACCCGTCAACAATAATGTCAAATATGAGAACACCACTGAGGTCTGCAATTGCTTGTAATCGTTATCATCGACCGAATGGCACCCACCGCAAGTGTGGTTATGTTATATAATTATAAAAAAGCTTAATTTTAGTTTTTCTTTATTACAATACACAATTGCAGTTAATTGCATAATTTAATAATTGCAGTATTCGCTATTCGGTATTTTTGTTTTCAAATTTCGTTTTATACTTTTGCTGTTCAACAGAAGTACAGACTATATTATTATGTTATACATTTCTATACAGTACTCCACTCTACCATAATATAATATTATAATAATAATATATTGATTATTGAGCATTTTAATTCTCTATTTTCTATATTGTATATTTCTATTGATCGAATATCATCTCTCAATTCTTTCCACTTTAGAACTGATTCTTGAAGTAAGTATTTTAATAGTCACCTATTATATTTCATTTGTATTTATTATAGTATTGAAAAACATAATTCATGTTTTTTAATATTTTCGCTGATCTTAGTTTGACTATACATATATGTAAGATACTGAAATAAATGACGAAATATATAGTATAAAACCTAAGTTTATTGAACTTCATGAACAATTCACAAGCAGCCCAGATCTATTTGACCCTTTAATACAACAACAATTCAGTTATTTCTAGTTACCAATATTGATGCAGCTTGCAATCAAAATGAATAATTAAGTAGGTAACAATATTATAAAAAAATGTTATATAGGTGCCTAAACAATACAGTAAACTAATTTTTAAGTCTTACTATATTTAACTATTATGTTAGTAGAAATTATTTGTACATTTGTATTTTTGTAGCTGCTATAGTTTTTACTTATTTGAACCACTGCTCAGTAGCGAGAAAACTTCCTATTATTAAAAAAAAAATCAATACGTATATTATAATTTTGTCTTTTATGTAATGTAATCTCAATAAATTTATTATCTTATTGTTAACGATAAACGGATATCGGAATGCAATTATCCATATACAAATAACCCGGTTATCTTCCTCATTAGTCATTAGTCAAATAATAGGTACTTAGATCTCCATTTAAATAACAACGTTCTTTATCATTGGGACTATTAGGCAGTGGCTCGGTAGGTTAGGCTGTAGGTTAGGGATCTCACAAACACAATAGGCGACCGTATGTGGTTCAAAACGAGCCCGGGGACAATACATTTTGGTATTTTGCTTTTTTTTTTACATATTTTAGCAACCAAATCAGTATAGTTATTTTAAGTCCATAAAATAGTTGCGTTAAAATATAGTTATATAGTTGTAACGATACTTTTTAGGAAGTTAATAGTTATTTGGCTCCTAGATAGGTACACAGCGTAGATACCTATGCAGATCGATAAATAAAATGATTTCCTTGTTGCAGTCTGCATACGTCGCGTCATAATATGAGCGGTGCAGCAGTCGGCATAGCGAACAACTGCAGTGACAGCAACGGGACTACCGTGCGCGTGCGCGTGATCGCGCCGTCGTCCATGGGCAAATCTTCGAACCTGGAGGTGTTCAGGAGATTCTTAAGGGACGCAGGCATGACGGCGCACGTCGATGACTCGATATACCGGGCTGGCGCCGATCTATTCTACGCGAATACCGACCAGTTCCGGGCGGCCGACCTAGTGGACGCGCTGACGGACAGCAGTACGGTGGTGTGGTGTGCTCGAGGAGGAGAAGGCGCGTCCCGGTTGATACCGTACTTGGAGGCGTTGCCTGCGGACCGGAAGCAGAGGATCCGGGACGCCCGGAAAACACTGGTCGGTTACAGCGATGCGACGGCACTGCACGTGTACCTACAGACGGTGTACGGGTGGCAGACGGTTCACGGCACAATGTTGGAAATGATCGCCAATGGCACGGTGGACAGGCGATCGGTAGACGCACTGGTGGCCCTGTTGACCGGCCGATCAGACCGAGTCCGGTACGAATTGCGGCTGATCTCTACCAACGGCCGCGGCCTCCGGGACGGGCTCTCGCTGAGGTCCAAGATTGCGGGCGGCAACTTGACGCTAGTCGAGAACTCGCTGGGCACATCTTGTGGCTTCCGTGGTGACGGTAAAATCGTGTTCTTGGAAGACGTGCGCGTCCAACCGTACTCGTTGGAACGAAGCCTCGATCACATGAAACTGGCAGGCGTGTTCGACGGCACCACAGCCGTCGTGTTTGGTTCGTTCAATGTGCACGAGCGGCCCATGAGTAGCTTAAACGATGGACCTTCGTCGGACGACCACCTGACAGCCTTGGTGTTCCAGCGGTTCGCGGCTTCTGTACCGTTTCCCGTCTTCAACGTCGATGGCATAGGTCATAGTTTCGTCAACAACCCGCTGCCGCTCAACACTGAAGCCACAGTGGTGGGACCGACGCGGTTCGACGACGCCTCCGAAACATCGTCTTACACCCTGACCGTCGACAACGTCTATTATAAGAATACCTAACCTAACCATAGTCAACCATCTGCACCACTTGACCAGCAGCTTAGTCCGCAGGTGTAGCTCTCACAGGCGGGGGCTGAGTTATGGGGCATGCCACTGAGGCATGATTCGAAGCTGCAGTGACTCTGAAAAAAAGCCAATACTTAATACTATACCCCGAAGAATACATGGTTCTTACTTCTTTTATAAGCAACTATAATATTGTCAAACTACTCTATAAAAATAAATTAAAAATTTCATTTCAAAAGAATTACCTAGGAAACTAGATATTGAAGAAGTTATACACATATGCTATTGTCTTTGTTATCTAGTTAAAAACCCTTGTGCTGGGACAAGTCAAACTTTGTTTCACATAAAAAGTTACTATAGTTGTATTAAAAATTTGATATTTAATTTACTACTTATTACAATAAATATTAAATCATGATTAGTATTATTATCTATTTTTTTTAGAAAGTATAGGACTAAATGTTTCAATTGCACCATACTCTGTAGACAATATGAAGTTTATGTATGATAATTTCGTAATCCATTGGATCAACTAAACAAATAACTTGAAAACAAAACTGTACCTCAGTGATAAGAATGACACACATCCAGCGACGGAACTAATTTGGCACTTGGCCCAAATTATGATGGAAACTTAGAGTACATCTTCTCGTGGCAAGTAGGAACCGAAGCTGCCACGTATATGTTTTACTTGGTATGACGTTGCATTTGAATCTCGTTTTTCTCCAACTATGTTTAAGTGCGTCAATAAATAATAATGTATGATAATATTACGTCCCATGCCCTTTTGACTGACTATACCCACTATGTTGTCCAGCCTGAGAATGGACCCGATTTTCATTGGTAAGTTGTACCATTTCTCCACTACCTGTTGAGTGATAACCTCGAGAAGATAATATGCTCTATCTGAAGCCTCCTTAATGTGATGTTAGTATGGCTGGAAATAGCCGTGACCCACAAGGGACAGCAGAGATCGAAATTTATCTGGCCGTATCTCTTCAGAATCCTGGCAAACAGCAACAGTATTAACTTATACGCGTCAGCCGTCTTCCGATGTCTGAGCTCTGAATCCTATTTCGCTTACCACTGATTAAGGGTAGTCGCCAGAAAGTCTGTTTTGGTTGATTTCCTCATTTCTCTCACCATTTCAGTAAGTACCGAACATCTTTCGACCGCCAACCAGTAAATGTGTGGGACTCCGTACATAAAAGTCGTCCGGTATGCACTTATAGCCAGCTTATTTAATTATAGTTCCCCAGCAATTGCATGTGGAACGGACTCTTTAAGCGCTAACCTCGTTGATTCTTACATAGGCTGCGTACAATTGTATAACAAATGACTGTGGCTATTAACCTACTAACATCAGAAGTTATATTATTTTTGGTCCTAAAACTCAAATGTTTGGTATCAGCCGTGAAAAGGAAATCCTATGGCGACCTATGGGAAGACCTATGGCGAGTATGGCTATTTTTATTTCTTTTTCCATGATCCAGTTGTTCTATTTCTTTATAATATCATCTTGAAAACTTTAAAAATGTAAATGATGTATGGATATAAAATTACAATTTTCAACAACACGGATGACAATTATTACTGGCTTAATCCACCAAAATTAAGTGATCTTAGTAGCTTTCGGGCTTCTTTTTCAAGTATTCATTATGGTTTATACATCATAGATATTTTATTTTCCCTTTTTCGTCCCGGAATTTGTACAACTGCTATTTGGGTTAATTTTCAGGTATATCATAATAATTATTGATACTCGTTATAATGGTATTTTATTAATGCACCTAATTATAAATAATAATGTAATAATCAAAATAATCATAATAATATATATTATAAAAGTATAACAATAACTGCGCACAATGCTTTTGACAATCCTTTGATAAATTATCGTTTTAAGCTAAATCTGATGTCATTACTCATTATACTATATTATTTAGGCTTATTAAAATACAATGGACTAGAGGTGCTTCAATTATGCGCATTAATTGAGGTCAAGGGGTGAGCGGTAATCAAACAATTATTAAAAACGTACTTACCATATATAATACATACATATTTTAATTAAATTATAGTGTTGATACATACACATACGTTGTATAAATGTATTTATGATTGATGTAACTATATTAATAAATACCTATATGATTAAGTATTTTTTTTTGTTTTAATGAAGCGTCGACAACTGAGGCCATTAGCTGTAGGTTGTGGTACTGTAGGGTTTCGGAACTGTAGGTTGTGGTACTGTAGGGTTTGGAACACTTGAGTGTTTGTTTTGCAGAATTTCTAGTGGGCACCCGTAGGTTTCTGCCATGCCCGGTTGGGGGATGGCGGCCTCTTTCCAGACACCGTGACTGCCCGGAGAGAAATGCCGCCCGTGACCGAGGTTCGAAACCGGCGACGGTGCGCGTTGCTACCGACGCGTTATCCACTCGGCCACTCCATCCCCCTTGATTAAGTATATTATTATTTTTGGAAGTACATTTACCTAAGCTATCTACAAAATGTATTTATTCAAAAATAACTTTTATTAAAAAAACGAATGAAAAAATCGACTAAATAAATTCAAAAACAGCTAAATCATAAACACTATAGCTCATATAAAATAATATAGGTAGTAAATAGTACTTACCTACCAAAACATATAGATGAATTATAGCGAATTCGTACATTGATAGGTATTGTGCAATTGTGTAAATAAATAAATGTAAAAAATGTTTAATCATGAGTCTACTATTTGTGTAATAAATGATAATGATAACTCGACGGATAATCGACGCTCTACTGTAAATTATGAAAGACCTACGTGATGACACGACGATACCTACGAAATACGAATACCATCACCTACGTGATGTTTAGTTGAATATCGTATTGGTAGATATACGTACGCGCGTTAAGCAGATTTTTATAATTTGCTGAATCCACAATATTTCTTTGACCTGATTTCATTGGCTGAACCAAAATATTGTAATATTTACTTTATGTTAGGTAAGTAGTAGTAATAAATATAAAAAATAAAATATGTATATCAAAACTCAACGTGAGAACATAACTGAGAATGTATAATAAGATGTAATTATGGTTTTTATTTTCTATACAAGTTGTATAGTTTCATTTATAAAATATATAATGTATGTTAGAAAATAATTATTTATATGTAACATTTAAATTTTTTATTATTCTACATACCTATTTTAATTGTCTTAATGGAGCTTAATAATGTTGGATAAAGTTGTTAAGTTTTAAGAAATAATTGCTCTCACGCTGCAGCTAACGGTAATGGTTGCCTTCATTAGCTAACTATTTTCTTTCGTTGAACTGTTTACAGATGTTACAGATGTACAATTAATATACCTAGGTACATTATATTCCACTAATTCACCATTTCACTATTTAAGTAGATAAATGTTTTTTAGCAAAAGTTTTGTCGATTACTCTATTATATTTATTTATATTTATACATAAAATAAACTGCAATAAATTAACAAAATTACATATAAGTTAATGATTAAATAAACTATGTGTCAAATCAAATTATAAAATAGTTTAAAAAAATAACATAAGTAAATGGTAGCTAGAGAGCTGACTTATTATATGCTATAAAATAAAATAATGAATAAAACAATGTTACAATGATTAAATAATATAATACATCTAATAATTTATGTTTAACTCATTCGTATAATATTATAGGTACGTTTGAATTAAATATTCACGATGGAATTGAAGATTGAGCTTTAATCAATTCGTTTAAAGCATCTTGATACCGTGGTAAAGTCAGTAAATATTTTACAAACTCTAAGTTTGGACGTGGTTTACCGTTCGGTGGTTGGCCATTCCCATTGGTTAGTGGTGTAGAATAATCGGGTAAGGGGTGCAACTTGTGCATCGGGAACGACGGACTCAATAAGTAGTCTAACGGCGTCTGATTCGGGCCGAGAATCGGTCGCGTGACTTTGGAGGGCTGTGGCGAGGCTGGTGTACCGGGAGAAAGTAATGGGGCAGTTTCCGCAGGATGAGTGGTCGGACCGTCGGGGATCATTTGGTTTTGGCCCACAGCCGCAGCCTGTGCTTGTAGTGAACTTGGAGTCATCCGCAAATCGGTCAAAAGTTGTGTCAGTTCTTGGCTGAAGTTGTGTGGCAAAGTGATGGGATCTAATTTCGTTAGAGCCGGGTCGGAGGAACGAGAGGATGTCGGGGAAATAGGGATGGGTGACGATTGTTGGCCCGGCGCAGGAGCAGACGAAGGGCCGGTTTCGGCGGTCGGCGGAGTAACGGAAACCGGAAGAGGTGTTCCGGCCGACTCTCGCGACTGTAGTAGCGGTTCGGCCATCTGCTTGTTGCCGTGGTCAGGCGTCTGCATGTCTGGGCCGAACGGTATTCGCTCGTGGATCACACCCGGGACCATTGCGTGAGGAGTTGCGCCGTTGTTGGACCCGAGAGTTGGTGCAGCGGGAAAATGCATAACCGTAATTCGATCGTTTACCAAAGGCGGTGAAATTGGCGCTGTCTCCGCGGCCGACGACGTTTTCTGTCCTGCGGTCGGTAACGATGAGTGGAAGTTTTTCAGGACATCCACCAATTCGTCACTGAGCGGAGTGTGTGCACTCGAGGCAGGCAAAGTCGTCGAAAACGATGTCTTTGGCTTGGGCGTATCCGGTACAACGTCAAGTGTGGGCGTACAGTGGACCTGAAAAAAAGTAAGTTGTAGGGTTTACGCAATCGGTCAATAATTTATATTTCCAATCGTTCGTCGTGGTTTAATTCTCGAATGACGATCGCACAGTAAAACGTAATTTAAATATCGTCAGGAAAAAAGAATTCGACAATACTATTATTTAATATTATATACGTTACCCACATAATACCCGTGTGAACACGAAATCGTATTATACCGTGAATTGCAAACGTACCGTATTAGAAACGATTGTCACCACCAGGATGACTGAAATCCTTTTGATCGACATTTTATTATTCTCGATACAACTCGGATGAGTGTGTTTGACTGTATTTGGACAAGTCCAATGTTTTATACAACTACCAGGTACTTATACCTACGCGATACTCGGCATCGAGCATAAACAAACCGTAAAGCTGACATACCATTTAGCGCACTATCGAATTTCGTATTTACAGAAGATGTGCGTGTCATGATAAATAGATAATATCGTTATGACATTGTATAGATCACGCAGTCAGTCCGATAGCAGTAAAATATCTCTTATGTTTTGTCATATGACTCTTATCGCATTTTAATTTGTGTATATAATACTATGTTTGGACATATAACTACGCGGCTATGCCATAATAAATGTAGGTATACAATATAGTCACCAAGGTACCTAATATTTTATTCTCATTTTAGTTGATAACTACCTTTAGGCTTTGTTACTGCCCATAATAGCCATATTACACACTGACATATTGTTATAACTTATAAGTTATTATTAATATTAAATTATTTACAATAGCATTGATTATGAAACATTTGCCTTTGGTATGATGAATAAGTTCGACAAGGATTAAAAGTTTATACTGATTGACCAACATATCTACAAGTTTAAGTAAAAGGATCATTGATTGGAGGTTTAGGTATAATTACAGAATTTAGGTGGAGAGTTAATTGCTACTTTTAAAGGAGAAGTTAGTAGAGAAAAACAAAACACAGTTCAGTCACTTTTTTTTTCGATTGATTATTTGATTGATCTATAGTTTAATTTTAATTTGGTATAGAAACAGAACTGCAGCCATAAGGAAAATATTGTAATAGTATTTAAAAAATATTTACAAAATTAAATAATGTGTATATCTACTATTAATAAAATTATTTAATGTCAGGTTTGATTTATTTATTTATTTATTATCAAATTATATTTAGTTAACAATATACTTTTTTATTCAACCCGATTTCGGTATTTATTTTATTCATTAATTGTAAGTACCTTTTCACCTACAATTCTACCTGAACAAATATTTACTGAAAATATAATAATACAAATATTATCGTAAAATCAATACGTTCCATTATTTTGTTCAAAGGTAACAAACGTCTAAAAAAAATCATATTACACTTCTATATTGAAATTATTTGCCAAGTAAATACTATTCATTATTTGATTCATTAATTTTAATAAAACTATAGTATAAAGTCTGTATAATATTTACTAGTCGAGTTGTTAAAACGTAGCTAAACAATTATTGGATCTATTAGGTATTAAAGTAAAATGTTTAATGGTAGTTAGTAACTATCTAATATTATTGTTTATTATAAAGTGAATTATAATCCCTTCATCAATGAACTGAATATTATTATTTAAACAAATTTAATCATTTTTAAGTAACATTTTAATTTTTAAAAGTTGATTTATAAATTTATGTTCTTGATACATTTTTCCAAGTTGACATCACTATTCACTTTATAACTATTACATTACAAACCTAAATTACCTTGGTTTATCTCATATTTTATTCATCTTATAGTTTTCATAAAACTTATGTAGGTAGTTATGTGACTTATTATTTTTCGTAATAATTTAACATTAGTTTTAAAACCGTCACAAGTTCAAGATTCAATGTTTTTATAATTTTAATTTTGAATCCACAACCTCAATAGGTAGTTACTAATAATACATTATAAAAAAAAAAATTATAAGCCTAGTTTCATGAAGATGATGATGTGTGAACCTTTCCCAAGTGAAATGTTTAGCATTAATCGAGTCATTAGTTAATCCAAATTGGTCGAGTAAATTCATGTATAGCTAACTAACAAAACTAAAATTGTCTTAATTTTTTTTTAAAAAACTGTCTTCTTTAAGTAATATTTTAAACGACCTCTGCAAAGAACAAACTATATACTTTTACTTAGATTGTATAATAAGAGGTTAAATAAAATAATAATTAGGTAGATGGGTAGGTACCTACTATTGAAGCCATACATTGTATACATTTCATGACTTTATATGGGTTTTACCCCCGTCACCTACCTTTGCATGAAAGCCTTAGTTGGGCAGTGGTGCAACTGAATCTAGGAAAAAAAGACCAAGGAAAAAATAACACGGAAAAAAAGAACAAGTAAAAAAGAACACGGAAAAAAAGAACAAAGGAAAAAAAGAACACGGAAAAAAAGAACAATTTTTAGAAATTTTAAACAGTGTCCCACTAATCAATATTTTTTTTAAAAAAAATTTGACGTATTTGATGCGTAGACATTTATGCTATATTTTTGGTATTATTTATTATTATTATTATTATTATTTATTATAAAAAAAAATACGAAACATAAATACAATAAAGCTTAGTATAATAACATAGAGTAAGATACTAAGATGCATTTTTATTACTGGAAATTCCCTAAGTAATCCTAGTTCCCTTATAGTTGACTATAGGTGACCTTTTCATACTTTATCATAAAATATAACTAGTGGTAAAATATAAAACAACATTTTATTACTGGAAATTTCCCATGTAGACTTTGCATACTTTAGAGCTATAATTTGAGTGAACATATTTTATTTTATAATATTATTATTTTAAAACAAATGTTACAAATGTCAAAACAAATAATTTTGATTACATTACGGTGTTAAAAATATTGATAAGTGGGACACTGTTTAAAATTTTTAAAAATTGTTCTTTTTTTCCGTGTTCTTTTTTTCCTTTGTTCTTTTTTTCCGTGTTCTTTTTTACTTGTTCTTTTTTTCCGTGTTCTTTTTTCCTTGGTCTTTTTTACCGATTACCGGTGCAACTATACCTCTCTAAAATGCGGGGTGCTAAATCTGTGAATGCATCACAGCCTTGTGGAGGGCACCTCCTTGCACCTAAACCCACAATACTCAATAAATCTAAACTTTAAAATATATATTAACACATTTCATATAAATAAAATAAAATAAATTAATAATACTATTTTTTTACTACATTATCAATAACATATTGGTAAATTTTAATTTCATAATCTTATTAATAAATAACTAAGAAATCTTACATTTTAAATCAGCATAATTTTCCTGGGTTTCATGCAGTATTTATTCAAAATAGTTTCGGTATTAAGCTGATTTAATAAATCTTTTTCAATAACACAACAAAGATAAATAAGTAAACCTGTGCTGAAGCATGCTTGATCTGGGCGCCCGGGAATTGGGCCACATTTTAACTACCTGTTTCGTATAAAATATTTGTTTACATTTTACTACCCGGAGATTGGGCCACAAATTAAATCTATATTTTTAAAGTGTACCCGGAGATTGGGCCATAGAAGTATAGCACACAAATATACTATTAATAGTATTAATACTATTAAGTTTGCTAATCAACTAAACGATCACAATTTACAATGTTTCATAATCTTTGCACACTACGCGTAAGACTATTTTTATCCATTTCATTTGACAATTGATAATTCTATATCATAAGATATTGGATAATTTATTACCTTTTGATAAATCATACGCAGTCGCTTCGAATAATGTTTCGTGTGCGTTGCAGTGTATTATATTAAATATTATTTTATTACAATTTAAAATGTAAAAGTGGCCCAATTACCGGGTCTGCCTGTTACAAATATAAAATTTTAGTGGCCCAATTACCGGGCCTACCTGTAATAAATATAAAATTTTAGTGGCCCAATTACCTTATACCTTTGGAAACAAAGGTGAATTGTGGCCCTATTCCCGGGCGCCCGCTTGATCTTAGCCAGTTTTTTATCCGCCGCATTATCGAAAAACTTTGATCACAAGTAGCAGAGCTCACCGGAATAATTGTAATTGCAATTTGCAAAAGTTAGTATAAATTTGGAAAGGAATCTTTTTTTATTTTATCTTTCATATTTTCTATTGTTAAGTTTTGTGGTAACAACCATTATTTCAGATTTTAATACATCGATCTTTACACTTAAAATACCTTATACAATTATAAATTATTGTTTAGTAATGACCAAAATTCACTTGAATTTATCCCAAATCATTAACGCCCATGTCGTTTTTTTATGTACCCGACTAACAAGGCACACCTGGGTCATCCAAGTCTACGTTTGTATGTTTTTTAAATAAACTGAGCATTTCAATGTATTAATAAATATTAACAAGAAAACGTGTTAACGCAATAACACAAGTTGAAAAAAAAAATATGATATGTACTTAAGAATGGGGAGATCATAGACTGCAGTCTTCACTGTCTCCAGTATGAACCTGTAATCTGTCCAGGGAGAGGACGGCGCCGGTCTTGCGCATCCCTCCGTGTATTTAAGCCATGCGTGTCACCACACTCATAAAACCGGTTCACCTTTGGTAAGGTGTCGAGTGGAAGAACCAGATTTGGTCGGTGCGCTCGGTTTGGACTTTCGTATACTCAATACCTACTGTAGGTATATTTTTCAATTTTTTTTTTGTACATGGGCATTGGGCGCCCCATTCCCCTCTTCATTTTTTTAATTTACTTAACCATAGTAGATTCTTTTGTTTATATTTTTTAATCATTGACCAGTTATCACAAGGATAACTCTAAGAGTCCTTTAGTGGAGAAACCATCAAAACCTTTGTAATTATATATATCTATATACATTTTTTTAAAATATTATTAATTTATTATAAATTTACAATGCATACCTAAAACCTATTTTTTATGTTTATTTTTTTGAAATCTAATACTTACATAATGTTTTAAAATGAAACTGTGTTATTTTAATATAAGTACTTATCTGCACAATTATAATGTATAAAATGTATTTAAATTATCAATAAAAAAATTGAAATGTGTAATAAAGCTGTTTTTTATATTATTTTTATTATATCTTACTTGTTATCAATCCTCCGATTAATTTGCAATTGATTTACGTTATATAATATATTAATTATTATATAAAGGTAAAAAAATCCAAACTAAACCAATTTCTTTGAATAAAATTTTCCTACAATAAATTGTAGTAATAAAATATATCATTTAGAAATGAGAAATACAGTTTTTAGTTGTAGTTAATTGAATTTGTTTCAAATAGGTTGGTATCTACCTATAGATACCAGATATTACTTGAAATCTTGACATAAATCACCAATTACTTAGTCAATTGAGTTTTTATTAATAGCCAATTGGTAATTTTTATACTTGGATATTTTGAGTAGGTTTCTACTGAAAAATAAATGGCTAGGTATATGTTATAAATTATAATATATATTTTATTATACAATTAAACTTCTGCACTTCAATGAGCAAAAAATATATATCCAACAGAAATATTATTAAAAATACAACTTTTTAAATTTAATTTAAATGAGATTTTAACATAAAAAATTATTATATAAAATAAATAAAATAATAATTATAGTAATGTATACTTATTTTAATGGTAAATAAAACAAAGTTTGAAATCAAATATTTTTTCTAATATTAAAAATGTATATTTAAATAAATAAGTTGTACCAATATAATATTCATTTTTTTATTATACAACTCGATTTAAAATCTAAAATTCAACAATAGCCTATAGGTCTATAATCTTGTTCATGTTATGTAGGTAATAAATAACTAATATTTTGTTTTCTTGGGCTTGTTACACAGTCCCACGTACGACAGGTTTTTCATAGTTAGAAATATAAAATTGATATTTTAATTTGAAAAAATAAAAATGATGTTTAAAATCTAAATACAATTAATTTAATATTATGCAACAATTTAAAAATCATAAGATTATGAAATTAATATATTATATTAAATTTAAATCAGAACAAACAAACATCAATAAGTGAAATTGAAATCAAAATTTTTCATCTCAATTTTAAGCACTGAAATAAAATAACACAATCTGCATAAAAGTATGTCACTCGCTCATAACTATTGTTATAAGCATTTTTTTTTTTTTTAATGTGCTTATCTAAATTTGACTAGATTTGTTAATTCATTTACAAACAAAAATTTAAAAAAATTTTATCATGATATATTATTAAATATGTTAACGGTTTATCATCTTACTAAAACTAATACTCACTGTAGTCACTACTATTATATTTTTTTTTTTAGAACACGCGACACGCAAATGACAAACTTCAAGATGTAATTATATAAGATTATATATCACACATAATTATAATACATAAGTATTTATGTACTTAAAGTTAAGTAATTAAAAATATTTTAGATGTATACAACATATACAAAAATAAACATTATAAATTATTGATGATGTCATTTACAGTTTTAAATAACCCAAGTAAACATTATTAATTGTTATATTTTAATAAATAGTTAAAAATCACATATAGAATAAAATGTCTTATTTAAAAAATAAAATATAAAAAATACAGTTTTTGAATTGGACAATCAGATGTTTTAAAAACAATAAAAAAATATTAAATTTACTTGTTTTCAATAATTTTAAATTTAGACAACAACAATATTATATTCATATATTATGATAATTGATAATATAATTAATATTAACTAAGACTAATAGCATCTTTTAATTTGAAAACCAGTACTTTGTTTTTTTCTTTTGTTTTTCAAATGCAAACCAAATATTTATAATTTGCAATAGTTAGAAAGCATTGCTGTTTGTCACACACTTTCTAACTTATTCAATATGAGCTTTTGATCTCTTGGTTAAACATATTGACACCACTGCTCCAGTAAATGAAAACAATGCAGACAACAAAAATCCAGAGTTATTCCCAAACATGTCCATTGTAAATCCACATATAATTGGTGCAAGGAATCTTGCTATTGCTGCAGAACTAGCTCCTGCACCAGCGACTAGACCTTTGTGGTCAGATGAAGACTGTTCATACAATATTTCATTGTTAAATCCTCTTATGAGTGTACTTGAAGCGCTGATTGGAATCATAGCTGCCATAAATATAATTAAATTTGGTGCTAAGGCTAAACTAACAAATCCTATACCCAACATTATGAAGGAATAAAAACATTTGGTAAATGGGTTTTTAGATGGAAATATGAGGTTTTCTATTTTGCCAGCTGCAAACCCAGTTATGCCACCAGTAAGTCCTTGTAAAGCACCAGTATAACCAGCTTCTGATGGGGATAAGTTGAACTTTTCATTCATTGCAAGACCAACTGAACTAAAATATGCAAACAACGCTGCAGCTCCTAACATTTTCAGCGAAAAAGCAGGCCAACATTCCTTCCAATTAACTTCCATCAAATCACTAAATGGTGAAGCACTCTTTCTTTCTTTCTTTGGTACAGTTGTGTTAGGGACCGTAAAATAAACGACTAAAGCGTTGATTAGAAATATTATGGAAGTATAGCATGCCAGGCTATAAAATCCTTCACTTTTTTCCATTAGATGACCACCAATTATTGGTCCAATAACAAATGAGAGTGATGAAAATCCATTCATTCTTCCATAAACTGCAGTCTGTTGGTCAGCAGGTACTTGGTCATTAACTAATGTCTTGCACAAAAGTTGTGAGTGTTTCAAACATCCTTGAAGTACACGAATTAGTACTATGAATATTAACGATTTCACACAGCCCAAAAGGAAATAAGCTACGGCACAAATGCATATTGTAACAACGAGTACAATCTTTCGACCATAATGATCACTGAGTGCACCAATTGGTGTGCCAGATAGGAATTGTAGAAACGAATATGTAGAACCAAGTAAGGCTATATGAAAGTGACTAGCGCCTAAAGAACGTAAGTGAGTGCCCCATACTGGTATGATGAGGCTAATGCTGATTAGGTCCAAGAATACAATAACATAGATGTATGAATACTTGAACATGGCTGGAAAATGCAGTTTCTAAAAAACAAACAAAAATTAAAGTTAACAATGAAATTTACATATTATTTTACATTACGTATAAAACCAATATGCAGTTAATTATTTTTCTTTTCTTAGAATTGAAATATAAGATTTAAATTTAATATATTTAGGGAGTACCAATTGTGTGATTATGTCTATTTAGGAATAGATCATTTATACTTTCTTAATATTCTATCTATGCAAAATAAGTTGGTTACAAGGACATTTCACATTAGATATACAATAAAAATATAATATTATGTTAAATTTTGAATTTTTTTCTATTGAAATCTGAAAGGTCATTTTAAAATCAGTCTTTTGAGCATTCAGTGGTTAATTTTATCAGCTTTGTAGGAAATTTTTCGATAGATAAAAATAAATTACATTTTAGTCTAATATAGTAAATTATGATAAACTGATTAGGTTTTTACTTACTTACACAAAAATTTCAAAAAGTTCAAGTCGCAGGAATATCCAGGAGAAATATTTTGTTTCCAACACCCTAAAACGGATAATGTTTAAAACCATTTACTTGTCTGGGTCCCTAAACTTTTAAGACTCACAGAAATACGAAGTTTTAGATATATAATGAACACATCAGCAACTTCAACCATTGTTGTAGATAATCATCCTGCACAAATGTATATATAAGAGTATTAAACAGTCAATTGAATAGAGTACCTACTCAACGAAAGAAAAAAAAAATAAATTACGCCATACCCTATAACCGTACACTGGCGATATTACTTAGTTTATATATTACTAAACATTATGTAAATCACAATCATGCAGTAGTCAGTACTTATTTCGACGGTATCAAATCTCTGCCGTCTTATCGGATAACATCACAAATTGAAAATGCAAATTTGCACCTATGTTGTAAGCTTGTAAAATAATTAATAATTATGATCAGTGAACAGTAAATGATCGAAACGCTGCAGCTCCCTCCATGGTCGTCCACGAGCTGATGTTTATTTGATATTTCCTAAATTATCGATTACATAACATAACAATTATACAAATAGTTTGTGTTCAATTTAAAATTAGGTACATAGTACCAACTTTCATGATACATAAATTTATTTATTAATTGGATTGTTCCTTGTTTACGTCGTATTTTACTAAATAGTAAATACGAATTTTGTATTTACATTTTATATTTTGTATCTACGATAAAAATTAAAAGTATTGTTTCTGGGTGATAACTGATAACATTCTTTATGTGGTAACCACGGTTTGGTTTGTTTAACCGAAACGTCAAAAGTGATAACACTATCAACGTATCACTGTTTCACAACAAGGAGCAATAGAGAAGGAAAAATAATTTACTATTTTCGACAATCGACGAGTTTTTTACCAGCTCGTAGGGTAAGTACATTTACATTTGATCAACTTCGTTTGATTTTTCCATAAACGTTCTGTTTTAATTGTTGCTTTCATTTTACAGTTATTGAAAAAGATGAACGGCTCAGCTTTGGTGAGGTCAAACCTGGTGGCTAAAGGTCACGGCGGAGCTATTGGACTGCCGAGTTTGGCGTTTAAAAATGTGTTGCAGACACGCCGAAACACTACTGCAGCGGCTCCTCCACCAGAATTAAAGGCGTCGTACGGTAACCTATCAGATTCCGACAGGATATTCACGAATCTCTATGGACGCCACGACTGGCAATTGAAGGGTGCGTTAAAACGCGGTGATTGGTACAATACAAAAGAAATTTTGATAAAAGGTACCGATTACATTATTAATGAAGTTAAGACTTCCGGTTTGAGAGGACGCGGTGGTGCTGGTTTCCCAACCGGGATGAAATGGAGTTTTATGAACAAACCATCTGACGGCCGCCCAAAGTATTTGGTTGTTAACGCTGATGAAGGTGAACCAGGCACTTGTAAAGATCGTGAAATTATGAGACACGATCCACATAAATTGATTGAAGGATGTTTGGTTGCTGGCCGAGCAATGGGAGCTTGTGCTGCTTATATCTACATCCGTGGCGAGTTTTACAATGAAGCTTCAAACCTGCAACAAGCTATTTGTGAGGCATATCAAGCTGGTCTTATTGGGAAAAATGCGTGCAACTCTGGCTATGACTTTGATGTATTTGTGCACAGAGGAGCTGGTGCTTATATTTGTGGAGAAGAAACAGCTCTTATTGAATCACTCGAAGGCAAACAAGGCAAACCAAGGTTGAAGCCTCCTTTCCCAGCTGATGTTGGAGTTTTTGGCTGTCCCACTACAGTATCTAATGTTGAAACAGTAGCTGTTGCACCTACCATTTGCCGTCGTGGCGGTGCATGGTTCTTTGGTCTTGGAAGACCTAGAAATTCTGGGACTAAGCTCTTCAATATATCTGGTCATGTAAACAACCCGTGTACTGTTGAAGAAGAAATGTCAATTCCATTGAAAGAGTTGATCGAGCGACATGCTGGTGGTATAATCGGTGGTTGGGATAATTTGTTGGCTGTAATTCCTGGAGGTTCATCAACACCACTTATACCAAAACATGTTTGTGAAACAGCAATTATGGATTTTGACGGTTTGGTAGCAGCTCAAACTAGTTTAGGAACAGCAGCTTTGATTGTAATGAATAAGCAAACTGATATTGTAAAAGCTATTGCTCGTTTGATTATGTTCTATAAACATGAATCATGTGGGCAATGTACACCTTGTCGCGAGGGCATTAATTGGATGAACAAAATTATGTACAGGTTTGTTGACGGACAAGCTCAGTCTTCAGAAATTGACATGTTGTGGGAGATTAGTAAGCAAATTGAAGGGCATACAATTTGTGCTCTTGGAGATGGTGCCGCATGGCCTGTGCAAGGGCTGATCAGACATTTTAGACCTGAACTTGAATGTAGAATGAAAAAGTACCAAGAGCAGAATGAAAAACAAGCTTTATCCAACTAATAGTTCTTTAATAGTATTTGCCTAACATTGGTCTACAAATTGTTAAATTGTGATTTTATCATATTTGTTTCGACAAGTTTATTAGTTACATATTATAAATACATAAATATTAATAAAATAATTTAAAAAAAAAAATGTATTATTGATATTTATACCTCCTACTATGTTAATTTGTTTTTTTTTTTATCTATATCCAAATGATTTTTTTTTTATCAAAGACGTAGAATTTAAATTAAATAACAGTTTATTATAAATTTGTATTGAGTTAAATGATGTTTATAACTTATATAATCACACAATAAATAAAACTTCTATGTATATTTCATATTATGTCCAACTTGCATTAATAAACTTTTTTCAATACAATTGAGAATGTAGATGTACGTTAAACTCAATTTAAAATTTAGTTTGGAATATTTTCTTCTAGGTTATTTATCTCCATAGCAAATTTTATTTTGCCAATTGTAATAATAATAAAGTGTAATAAATTATAGTAATTGAGTAGCATTTGCCTACCAATTATTAATTTGTTACATTTTATTTACATATTATACAAACAGTGTACCAATATTGCTAATTATTATCAATGTGCAGTTTATAATTTCTTATGATCTGCTCCAATAATATTAGTATAGAATATGTATATATTATTAGTGTATAATTATTAATACTATTAAATATACTTGTATGCTCGTATATGCTGTGGGGGGGGGGGGATGTGAACAAGACGAGTTTTGGTTTAGTATTAAATGGAATAGGCATCGGTTCTCAAACTTTTATCACAACGCCACCCTTAAGTTTGTGTTTTGTGGAACTCCAGTCTCAATTATTTATTGAAAAACCAATACTTCAAAAAATGTTTTATATATATTGTTCATGATTATTATGTATTTTTATGTATTGCTATGTATTATTATTTATATTATAATCATTTATATTATAATCATTTCTAAAGAATAATGGTAACATAATACATATTGCATTATTGCCATAACATAACATTAACAATTATGTGTCGTTGATACCTCATTGGTTTATGGCTAAATCTAGTAATACTTGGTTTTAATCTCTCAACTAAGATTGTAATATTTGTTAATTTTTCATTAGTAGTTTTTAAGTTAAACTTACATTTTGTTCATATACGAACAAAATTTTGTCGAGTAAGACAAGAAAAATTTATTTCAAATGATGAGTATGTATCAATATATTGTATAAAATATGGAAAGGACAATATTAGAACTGGTTGAACAGATGGAATTGGTCGTTTCCATGGCCTGGTTAATTGCTTACATAATGTGTTGTACGGCGTTATATATAGGCAATATTGGTACATTAATATACAAGCATTTAAACATTTTTCAGTATTGACTAAGTTTACATTTACCTAAATTATTTAGTACCTATATAATTTCAAGAATATGGTGTGTTAGTTACCTATTATTTTAACTAGTGAAGTGAAGTTAAAATATCAAAATGTAATTTAATTTTTATTGTAACTACTAAATGTTATAAGTAGAAAAAAATTAGTTATTTTTTTTTTTCAATTTGAATACTTATTTACAATTTACTTCAAAGCACAATAAGTTAATTTGATATAACATATATAGTATATACACAAAAACAAACATGTGTGGTAAAAATAAAAATATACATATATTATAAGAGTAATATTGACAGACAGTGGTGTTATAATAGAATCATAATATTAACTGAAGTTATAATTTATTTAAGTTGATTTTCGATTAATTATTTTTTTCAGATATTATCTCCGAATCAACAGCAACATCTCTCTAATGGTTGTTGAAATGGATTATTGTATTGTGTTGTTAATGTATCAATAACTATTAAAAAAAGACCAATCAGATGGTGGGATGGCCACAACAAATCATTGACCAATACATTTTTTTTTTTTATGAATAAAAATTGAGATTTGAGATTTACTAAAAACTGAATAATTATTATCCAATAATTTTTTTTTCTGTCAAAATGACCAGTCAAAGTTATTTATTAAATGTATTAAGCTTCGAACGTCCGTGGTAAGTAAATTAGTGGAGAATCAAATTGCCTGGGTCCTATGCTCTTTTCATACGTATTCATGATTGTGATACAACAATATTATATCGATTGGGTACAATAAACTTTTAAATTATAATACTATGTTTTGTTACATTAATTTGTAATTTTAATTACTTTTCAATTACAAAAACATTTAATAGTATATTTAAAATACCTACCTAGGTATCTCACTTATGTTAATCCTTCGGGTTTTTATCAACGTAGGTACCTATTAAATATTAATTCCCGGTTTATCATTTTTACTAGACTAACTAAACTTTTTAATACTTAACTAGCTATCCTATTATTACGTACAATTATTCTTAATTTCAATGATGATACAAGAATGTTACAAATGCATGAAAATAAAAACAAATAAATTACATTTACTGATAAATGAATTGTGTTATTTTAATAAAAATGCATTCACAATAAGAATAATTACAAATGTCAACATACTAAATTTATACTTATTTTGTTAGGTACCATATTGTTAAATCATGATTTATAATTTATGGTATAATTATTGGTGTCATTAATTTGATTAATGAAATGAAATTGCGCTTATCGTAATTAACTATAATGTTTATTTTATAATCATTTGGGAGTAGGAATACCTTAAAGTGGTATATTGATAATTTTTCGAAAGAGTTTTGAGTTTTCATGAAAAAAAATCATTAATAAAAAATAACAAACAAATAGACTAAACTATAAAGAATTTTAAGGTGAAAATGAAAAATTAATGCTTGATACAAACGACTTGTCAAAAATGTCTAGTTTTCGGGAGGAGCAATTTAAAAGGTTGAAAATTATTTTCAAATCGTTTGTGAATTAATTATATAGTTACTTTATGTGATTATATGATATTCGTGTGACTAGTTCTGTATCTATGTAGTTTGTAATGTAGTTTACTTAAAATTAAAGATTTTTTATGATTCAAGAGTGAAGACCATAATATCTGGCTACTACAATGGCTTTAAGACCCCACTATTATCGATTTGTCTGATTACTTTGTATAACAACTTAATAAAATATTGCAATACTGAACCCAGTCACATTATTAAAAAATAAAAAATAGACTGTATATGCATACAAATATAAATAACTATTGGTGTAAATATTTCAAGAAAAAAAAAAATTGCCCTTTGTTTAATCAAAAATTATGCTAACAAATTATAATAAAATTAACTTAATATTATCAATAAAACAAAATAAAATAAACTTCGGTAGTAGGTACAAAATATGAAAAATTGTGTATTAATAGTCATGTCATATTTTTAATTTTTATATAATATTTACAATATTTAAATATTTAAGAGTAAGATAATGTTACCATATTTTATTTATCAACAATGGGTGTTTTTTAAACGTTTTATTTTAATTTTTCATTATTTTTAATCAAATAAGTTTCCTTAAGTTTCTATAATATCCAATAATATTATGATATTTTATTCTTGAATACTATACTATTTGAGTATTATGATTTATTAAATGTGTATTTGTTTATAAAAACAAAAACAAAGATAAAAAATTATTATTTAAGTCATTTTATTTTATGAACAATTATAAAACCATACCACATTCTTAATTAATTAAATTTAATGTAGTCCATGGCTTTAGCTTATATAATTGAATAATTTATAATACTTATAATTAATAATTTAATGTTATTATATCATACTAAATAATTGAATAAACGCATACTACAATTATTTCAACTTTACCAACTACAGTAGGAATAATATTATATGATAACATGCTTATGTAGTATATTATGCTTGTATATATTATAGCTTTATAAATCTATATGGGTATAATAATAAATGCAATTTTGAAATTGGTTTTTTTTTGTAACGGTTAATCTCAGAAAAAAACTGCACCGAAGCTTATTTTTCAACTCCTATAGGTTAGGTTAGCCTTACGATAGTCGATAATCGAATGCATTTTGTTTATTTACAATGTAAAAAAAAAGGTATGGAAGTTGATTCTATTTTGCTATTCAGGAGATAGAGGGGCCACTGTAATGGATGTGTTAAGTTTGGATTCAACAATAATATATATCATTGTATACAAAAAATGATTTTGTGCTGTGACAATGATGTGTTAGCCTAGAATATGTTTAAATTATATTAGTATTGCTATTAGTTGTAACTAATAATTATATAGTAGGTACCTAGGTAGGTTAAATCCAGTTTTGCAAAAAAACATTGCATTTGCATACCTATACTTAGATACCTATTATTCTAAAATTATCAGTGATTTTTTGATTACAGTGTGAACTACTTACGAGGGTCCTTGTAATATACTGATAAGCTTTTTGACCGAACGAATAATTTTTTTTCAATATTTATAGAAAACAAACTAAAATAAATCGAAAACGATCCAAGCGAAGACGTTTTAACAATTTGGTAACTAAGGTTTACAATAAAAATGATAATAATAGTAGGTACCTATCAACATTTTAACAACCTTTTTTCCGTTTTTTTTTTATTATTATTTTAAAAACGACTGAGAATTTTCAATTTTGACTTCCAAAAAGTATCAACTAGATCCAATTTGTTACCAAAAATCTCCATTAAGAGAAACGTTTCTAGCTATTAGAAAAAGTTTCTCCTGACACAAAAAAGCACACATCATTAAAAATCAATAAATTTCTAAAACTCAGAACCTAACATTTGTAATAGGCTAGCCAAGTCATCATACTTTGCTATGGGATTATTCTTAAATAAAAGAAAATAATGTTTAATTTATTGTTTGTTATTCAAATTTTCAACAAGAGTCTGTCCTTATATTTGTAACTTATAGACACAAAAACTAATTTACCGATTTTAACAAAAAATTAAGAGATATCAGAACAGTTTAAAGAGTAGTTTAAATCACGTTAAATAAACAGGCTGATTTGGCAATCTTAGTTAAATTAGTTTACAAAGGGAGATACTATATTGATACACTGATGTCGTTTTGCTCTTGAATTGAGGTTCACTAAAACCAAGATACATCGATATAGAGTGCCCTATTTGATATCTGTTCATCTTTTCTCAGGATATACAGTATATACCTAGCATATATTATGCTAATATTTTACAAATATGTAGAAAATATACAAGTATAGTTTTACATATTCGAATTTTCTAATAAAGCTGAAATTATTTTATTGAAGTTTGTAAATCGTTTCAGTTTTAACCACATTTTTAAAATTATTTTCTATTTTTAAAAATGAGTTAATGAATATACATTATAGTCCTCAAAACAAATTAACCGTTCTATCAAAAAATGTAGCCTTGAGGATAAATATTGCAGTGTCTGGCAAAAATCATTAAGAATACATATAAATTGCAATTAATAGTTTAATACCCTCAGCTACCTATCTTAAAATTGTTCTGAATCTAAGTTAGAATGTACAATATTATTAAAGATAAATCTACTGCAAATTGTTAAGTATTTATAATTGTACAGAGTAGATGATGCACTACTTTGAAAATATTTCAGTTGACCTAACGACGTTTCTATTTGTAATGGTATATGTAGATTAGATATTATTGTACTCAATAACATAGTTATTATATAAATTACAAATTAGTCAATTATTTTATTAAAATAAATGCCAGACATTGAATGCTTCATTCGCCAGTCGCCGATTTAGAGTCATTGCTTGTGTTACCAATATCTATTATTGTCTATTCTTCGGAGTACGCTCGAACATCAAAATCACTCATCTTTTATTTACAACATCGAACAATTAAATCCAAACGAAATACAAAATGAAATCATTTGTGGTAAGTCATGCATTATTGATTTATTTGTTATAAAAAATTACTAGGTAGGTACTTGTTTTTCTTTTCGAACATTAATACGACTATCACATTTTTCACCTGATATAGGTGGTGATTTCTGTAGCGTTGGCCATCATGTTCGTGTTCGCCACGGACACGGCAGCAGCCCCTGCTGATTATGAAGACCCGAATGATATGTTGTACGTTGTTTAATATTTATATATTAGTAATAATTATCACATGGTGTTATACTTAATTATCGAAGAATAATACTATATTATGGTTTATTAATTTATATTTTATCAAACATTATAACGCCCATTGGAACATCTTGACATGGGATATTGTGTGAAAATACTTATTCATATAGAATTATTAAAAATATTAAATTGTTTTCCTCTTATTCTTTCATAAAATATCGGTTTTAAACACAGTTTTACTCATATGGGTTTTTTAGGTTGATTATTTAGGTTGGCTCTTTAAATTGTGTTTAAAAAAATAAGTGAAATTGTTAATTATTATTATATTATGTAAACACATCTTGAAGTAACTTACACAGTTTGCGATTTTTTAGGGTTGAAATACAGGGTTACATTAATAATATAGTAAAACAAACGTGATACTGGTAAATTTGTGGTGTTAGGAAAACATGAAACAACTCGTGGAGCTTACTTTAAATTGAAATAAGAAGTAACTCGTTAAGTAAACAGTTGTTGATTGGCACGTGATTGTAAGTAATTACTTTTGACGTTGTTGAAAAGGATACGTAAAAACTAATTATTATGTCCTTATGACCTTTCAGCATGTTTTTCGATAATATGATAATCATATTGTGAAAAGTGCTTAACAATAAGTTAGTAATCTTCACTAGTAATGAAGTGTTGAAAAATTAAAAAATGTTAGATCAGATAAATTATGTACTTATTGTCTTATTCAAATATGATTATTTTTTATTTTAATTTATTCTCAGGGAAATGTTGTATACATTTGAAACCGCCTTAAAACAAAGTATTTTCATCAATCTGAGGTAAAAATACTATTTTTCTAATGTATTGTAGTGTGTACGAGCGTTTTTAAAATTTTTTTTTTCGGAAGCGGTATAAATTATTATTTTTATCAATTATAAACGTATGTATTTTATTTATCTTTGGATTCTCGCTAGTACCAGTAGTCGATAGACAAACTTGTAAACATTTAGTGAAGAGCAAATACCCCATTTATCTCTTCCCAGGCACGTCCTTGTTAATATATTATACAAATGTCATCAAATATGAAGAAAAAAATTGAGGACTTAGAGGAAAACCTCGACCTAGACCTTTTATATTAGGACAGACCAACACTGAATTTACTATTGATCCTCATGAACGGATCTTCTTGTTTGCGTTATAATATAACACCTTGATTAATATGCCCAATTTATTGGTTTCAGCTTACTTACCGGGCCAGTCGATGGCATGATCCCGCAAGTACGAGTTACTGGGTCTAATGGACATTACAATAAGATAAGCACCAAGCACCCATTATATGTAATCGTCAAAACCGTGGTCAAACTCTTGATGAAAATATTCTCTCCCGATAATTCCATATAACGGCAACATCGGGGCACCTAATATTATATGTTCGAATTTTAACCGTTCGTCTTATAATATTAATTGTGTTTTCTTAGACAGCTTGTTGATTTTACCGCAAAAATACATTATATAATCATGACGGGCGAAACTGTGCAATATAACAATAATACACGTAAGGTACAAAAAATTATATTTTTGATATTATATTATTATAATATTTATTTACTATTTTTTTTATTTACACAACTCAGAACCGATTTAAATTAGATATATCATAATGTTTTTTTATGATTTATATGTTATATTATATTCCTATTTTAACGGTCAGAGTTATCACAAAAAATCTCAGTGTATTATACTATTGGACTAGTAACAACAGGAATATAATATTTTATATAAGGTAATATAATATTATGTAATCACGAATACATAGTTTGTGTTGATTATTTATTTGAATATTATTATTATTTTTTTTTTTTGATTTTTGTTGATTTTTCTCTTAATAAATATACTAAAATACAGTTGGAATAGAAAATAGTATTACTTATGTTGATTATTATTTAAGACTTTGTACGGTTTCATAACCACTTCATGGTTTCGTATATTTTATATAAATATATGTATTTATCATACAAAATAAACGCCATAATTGGGATATGAAAATATGAAATCTATCTTCTAAATAGTTAAATCTCGTTATTTCATTTCCACTATTTATTTATTGGGATAAAAAATATGTTTAAGAATAACAACATTTTATACTTATACCACTGCACTGATTTATTGAATAGTCTTCTTTTAAAATTATTTAACTGTTTTTAAACTAAATATATTTATAAAGCATACTAATATCTATAAATATATCATCAATTAATACTTAAAAAAAAAAAAAAATAAGCAGTGTCTCATATTAGAAAAAAAATATAAAGTTTTTACCATTTAATTTAAATTATAATAACAATTATATGGAATACAAATTATACACTGTTAATTGTGTTAATACGTGTATACGACGTATACAATTATTTTTGGTGTACCTACCACATGAACGTAACACTAAGAACTTTTCTAGTTTCTAGTTGTATGAGAGCAGTGACAGTCGACAGATCCGAGGAAAGTCAACTGATATTGTCATATTGATGTTTTTCTTAAGATTAATGTTAGTAATATAATTAATATAATAATATGACAAATGTCATATTAGTATGATATTTTATCATTATTCCCATACTGAATATGTGGACGCATGGGTACTTTTTTTAATAATATATTTTATTTTTTCAGTGATCGTATTTCAAATATTGAAATATTAATATTATACTATATAACATAATACTATATAATGTCTCACCAAGGATTTGTGATTGATTTTAATAAGTTATATCTAACTTATAGCCTAGAATTTTATTCTACACTTTTATCACCAATTTATTACTATATAACGATTAATACAATATAATAAATTAAAGATTACCTAATTATATCTTACGAGTTGGTACCTATACTAGTTTTTATATTACTCGTAGACTAATTTATTTCGAAGGTATGCGATGTTTTAATATTCGACTCAATAAAATATTATTTTACACGGGTCGAATAAAAATATTATCAAGTTGGAGGTCAGTCTTGTATTAACAATTTAAAATACAACTGCATGCAGGGGACTCACGGGTAAAAATTAATGAGTTTTTAAGTATGGGCGATGTAGACGAAATTATCTTTGTTTTTCGATCTGCCGATGTAGACGTCATTTGACCTAATGTGTCTACATATTTCATTTCGAAAAATAAGGTATTTTTGTTATCGAAAAAAACTTATAAAATCGATATGTACATCGTTCACACAGTCAGTTCAGTTACGGGAACCATTACTATTGGACATTCTTATAAGCAACCTTAATTTTTTTTCATCAATCGACGAAAAACAAAATGAATACAATCACGGTAAGCCGATTATTTACATTTTACAGTTTTACTTGCAGTTATAAACAATAAAGTAATAATATTACAATGTAATAATAATTTATACATAAAAAATTGAAATTTTATTTTTTTATTTTTTTAAAATTGTTTTCTTACTTTTTTTGTGTCTTCGATAATACAGATAGTAGTTTTGGCGGTGTTCGTCTTCTCGCAATGGTCGACCACTGCTGCGGTGACCACATATTCGACAGAAAAACCAAAGACCCCAGCCGTAGCGCAACTTTTGAGAAACGACTATGTCTACGATAACAGTGGACAGTTTAGCCTCAAGTGAGTTACATATAGTTAATAAACTAACACACCTAAAGTTTTTTCGTCTCATCGATTTTTAGAATATTATGGTTAGGTATTATTTTATGTCAATGGAAATAAAATAAACTCCTTAGTTATCCGTAAAAAATCAAAATGTATTATCTTTTTCCTGACTTTACTAAATAAAATACATTATCTATATTGAAAAAATATTATCATTATGTACCTAAGTAACTATTAAATACACTGTGATTCAGCGAGAATACACACATAGTTCCCCCAATTAAAAATGAAATTTATTTAAATTTAGGTTTTTGAAATTTTTAAAAATACCTAAGATCATATCTTCAAATACTGTGATTTTATATACAGTCTAAAGAGTGAACTTACAGTGGTGATACACATTTTTTTTTTAAATGATACCAACATTTACCACATATAGTTTTTTACTCTAAATAGTTAAGTAAATACATTTTGTCAATATTATTATTAATTACCAATGCTGGAAAAGTTAACTTTTTATTAACTAGTTAAGTTAAAGTTAGTATAGAATATGTCAGTTAAGTTGAAAGTTAAAAGTTACATATTAGTATAGAATATCTAAGTTAAGTTGACAATTAAAAATTACAAGTTAAGTATAAAAAAACAACTCAACACGATTGAATATTAGTTAATTTTTTTTTTAACTGAATATATTTTACCATCTATACTGAAGCTTAATGAGTAAATCGTTTATAAGGGTATAATACACACAAAGATAATAATACATAGTAAAAATAATACATATTGGAGTAGTGGACAAAAAAATTAAAACAAAGAGCCATCCAAGTATCCAATTGGAATCAATGACAGATTATCAATGAGTTTTTAAGAGATGAAGGTACCAACGTATTTTTAAATGTCGCCGTCGAACTGGATTATCCGATAATGTTATTATTGAGGGATCTTAAATTAATATAATAATATGCTCCGGTGAGATACTAATTTTTAAGGAAATGTTTTTAAAGTTGTATTTATGCACATTTTTTTAATTCCGATTGAAAACTATTTCCTACTGCATTCAACACTTCAGATGTCTACAATTTAGTATATAAATATAATAAATATACACATATAACACTATAAATAATAACTATTTTCAACATGCTTGTTGAACGACTTTAGACTATATAGTCATATACAGTAAACCATTGGTAAATAATAATATACGTAACGATGTGCAATTTCAGTTATCAGGTGGATGATGGAACATCGCAGACCAGGGAAGGTACGTTGGTTTTGAACGACGAAGGAGACGATTACGTTTTGATTCAGAAGGGTTCATATTCATACATTTCTCCCGAAGGCATCAAAGTTACGGTGACATACACAGCCGACAAGGAAGGTTTCAAGATTGTTGAATCTAGCAACGACGTCCCCGCCAGAGTGTAACTGGAAAGCCCATAGTCCATAGTCATATTATTATGTCCATAGCATCATTATAATATTGTATAAGGTTTAGTGCTTTGTTCATTATTATCTTAAACTGATTATGTAGTGTTCGCAAATAGATAGTCGTAATGTAGAATCAATCACGTATATATTTGAGTGTACATGTAATAAAATATACAGGGTATTTACCTATTAAAACATTTGAAACACATACTTATGATTTTAAAAAAAATAAAATTTTTCCTCACCTATACCATAATAATATAATATTATGTTGTATGTAACTTATTTTGTTTAGTTGTGAAACTAAACATAAATTATGTAAAAACTATTTTCTACTATTTACTTATACATACTCATTTTTTAAGTGGCACATATTTACACTTAATTTCATATTCTGAAAACAGCTAGGACATGTTAAATACAAAATATATCTATTATTGAACCAATAGTTTCGTTATTTTGTGGATTATAAAGTTTCGATTATATGATTAGAGGAGAATAACAGTAAGTGCGACACACAATAATAATACAATTTTTTCGTTCTAATTTGTTTCTCTACGTTTATTTGAAGTGCTTGAGAATTATAAGAAGTTGGGTTAGTAATTATTTGGGTGATTGTAAATTCAGTTAGGCGATTTATAATCATCATATAACTTATATTTAAATTGAACAATTATACACTATAGGTCTCCTACTTTTCAAATATTAAAATTTTCTGAGTGTTGGTTAGGCTGGTTAGGGGAGCTGAGGCACAGAACATGAAAAAATAATAAATATTTGAATGAGGATAGGTAACAACTAATATCATATTTTATTATAACATTTCATTTCAGTGTTTTAAAAATTATTACCGGTATTACACATTTTGTTATCTAAATAGTGGAATATTGATATATTTATAGTACCTATAAGTATTTTACAATTAAATAAGCACATAAACATCAAACATACATCATATTTTTTCATACTGAAAAATTTGGGTGGAACTAAAATATCGTAAAGAGACGATAGAATTGTGCAATGAAAAGTTTGAATCGCTATCTGAGCTCTGATATAAAACGATAAATAAATTGCGCCTAAATTACTTGAATTTTTGATAATCTAGATTAATAATTAATTATATCCTAAATACTTAAATCATGATCATGAGGGAACTCTAGTAATGTTTTTTTGTTTTAATTTCATATTTTCACTAATTTATGAACATTTAAAAACGTTTTGTAAATATACGAGTATTTGCTTTGTTTTTTTTTTTATTATTTTAAAGTAGTGTAGCTGTGTGATTTTAAAATTATTTATTTTCGAACCATTCAAACCATTCTTCATTTCTGAGGAGGTATTCCATGGTTATACTTTGGTAGCTTTGTATTTTTATATTTTTTATTGTTTAAGTGATTTTTGACTTAGTACACGATAAGATACCCTACCTACATTATATTTTGCTATCTGTAGATTAATCAGGTTATACATTTTATGTCATTTTTTCGGCTAAAATGTACAATCAACCTTTTTCTACTAACATGGCACTGCAGAACCAAGTTTACAACAATTAACGTAATCCCGGGTACAGTGTTCACATGCACAATCATTAATCTAAAATATGTGTAATATGAACGTTCAGGAAAAATATTTCGGTAGAAGGTATGAAATTAAAAACAATGTTTTGAAAGCCAGATTAAAAATGATTGTTGAAAGAAAAATAAATACTTACAATTATGCGTATTACCTACCTACCTATATTTTAAATATCTTTTTTACAAACATGTAAAAAAGTTGTCAAAAAAATTAGTGTTCAACGTTAGAAAATTATACTTGCTATAAATGTATACATTTCTTAGTTTAAAATGAAAAATAAAATAGCACATTAATATTTTACACGTATTTTAATTACCTCAATGTATAATATTTCATTTATTTTGATATGTTAGTAAAGAAATGTAAGTAATTGATGACTATATACAGGGAGAGTATTTCATTCTTATTAAGCTAAGATGATAATGATAGTTTTTATTTTAAATGTTTGCACTTCATAATAGTTGTTACAAATGTGATTATAAATTATATATAGCTAATCTGTGCAGATTGCAGACTGCGCATACCAATATTTTATAATCATGTTATTTTCTTTAAACATTTTGTTTTGAGCACGATTATCAATTTAATTGCTAGTATAGTTAATATTTTGATAAGTAAATATGCATTAAATTGCATTAATCTGCCAAAATATAATGTATACGTAATATTATTATTCATTACAGAATAAAATATCTTATACTTGCCAATTATAATAATATAATACCTATACTCTTCGAAGGTTGCGTAAATTAGTAAATTTAATGATATTATTGATTTATTCGGAGAGTCTAAATATCTTTTAACTTAAAATTCTAAAGAAAAATCTAATATGATAATTTTTATTTTTTAAAAAATTGTATAAAATACTAAAAAAAATGAATAACTCGCTTAAACAATAATTCCTAATCATTAATAACCAGGGGCACTTCGTATGCTATATGAATTCTGAATATCGACTATATTTTTCAATTTTATCTTCTTGCCCCATTATCTGTAAACCATACGAACTGACTGATGGTGTACTTACTATTTACTATACATTAATAACTAATACAACTATTTATAATCGATTAGTATGCCTGAATTCGTCAAGAATGAACATAATTTGATAAAATATTTGAAAATTAAAGATTTGATATTTTGTTATTACTTGTCATTTATGTCAATAATTTAGTACAAATAAATACAAGTATAATATGTTTTTAATATTTTTTAATAAGTAGCAAATAATGATAAACTTATGCACATTTTATTTTCAAACAGGTGACCCATATAGTATAGTAATACATTCTTACCTATGATGCGTAATGTTAGTTAGGTATCAAAATGATGAGCGAATAAACGTAGAAAATCAATAAAAATATTACGTTAAAAATATACTGAAAAATAATATTATAGTATCCATATTAACTATAATATACGCAGCTGATTTTATATTATTAATTTGTATGTAATTTATAAATTATGTTAAATTCCAGAACTTTTTCTCAAACTTTGGAACTCCAAAAGCTTATAGGTGGTGCGCTAAAAAAATCTCCATTTACAAAAAAAAAAAAAATGGATTGATCATTGTTCACATTAAATATTATTTGGTTTATTAAAATTTAATAATGATATAAACAATATCCACATTTAATTTTCTTTTTTATACATTAAATGCTTATATTATCATCATTTTGTAATTCCTAATAAAATAAAATTCCATACAAGTAAAATAACGTTTACCCACAGTTTTGATAAGCAAAACAAAAACCATTATACGGTCAAGTGGTACATGAAAATTTTCAAACTGTGTAGGTGGTAGGTACGCAGATATAAAAAGGTTGAGAACTGCTGTTATAGAGGGTATCCTTCCACTACGAATCCGTTTTAGTCAGTCGTGTAAGTCATTTTCACGTTGACGCCTTCGGGGGTGACGAACGAGTACGGCCCCTCTTGGTTCAAAACGAAACCGGTTCTATCGTCATTCTGTACCAGTATTCCTTTTTTCGTCTGAGCCGTTCGCCCGTTTCATCGTTGAACGCATAACTGAAATCCGACAATGGGTGTTATTTAAGTGTGTATATTATTTAGGTACTTAATAGAAACTGCCGTATACAATTGTATTATAACGTGGATAATGGGCTAAACGTAAATTATAATTTTATTGCATTTTTCCACGTCTTTTTACTGTTAAAAACAATGAAACTGGAGTTTTAACCAACACTGCAGTGTGGACAAAGATAATATTCGATAATACATATTATTATATATATATCATTTATAATTTTGTCGCCATTGTGGTGTTCCAAGTTTGTAGTAATTAAGTTAAAATTTCAATATCTTTAAGGTTATCTTTTTTGGGGGGTTTCTGAGGGGGTCTAGTTCCCCCAGGATCCCCCGCAAATACTCCACTGAAGTTCAGTATAAGTTAAGATGTGACAAAGAATAACTACAACATGTTCAACCAAAAACACAACTATTATAGTACGATTACACTAGTCGACTGCATTAATACAGTATACAACGCTTTCATCACTTGTTCGATGATAATTCCAGCTGTAAATTGCAAAAATGGAACCATTGAGATCAGTAGACGATAAAAAAAGTTTAAAATAATATACTCGCATAGCGTCAGAGCGTTAGTGTATTTGATATAATCTCAATCTATACATTTACTTTTATAATTAGACAATTATTAACAACTTGCTTATTCAAATTTTATTTCATAAAAAATTACAAATTTTGACTAAAAAACAGGTTAAAGTGCAAAAATATCTCAGAAAGTCCAGTAATCGCAATAAATTCTAAAAAATCTCAAAATCTGCAAAATAACATTTTAAATTTTAGTTCTCTGAAGCAATAAATACAATTTTGAGCTTACCTTTGTTATCTCTTAAGCATTTAATTAGAAATTTACAAACTATGAGTCTATACTATAGAAGCGACTTCAATCATTTGGTCATAATCTTTAATTTGTTTGCTCTCGTTGTGGACAATGATGGTTAGGTTAGGTTTTTGGGATTTGGAATCTTATAAGTAGTACTTTTAAAAACTGTACTGTTTGGTGCTGCTGCAGATACTTCGATTCACCGCGACTGCGAGGATCCTGTCCTCAGCTGGGAGTTTTAAATGATAGCCATAAGCCAATGTCTGAGATTAGTGTTTATAAATATTAGACACCTTCGAGGCGCGTTCGCTAAAAAATCAATATTAGTGTGTGATCAAAATTTACAATTCATACAGATAACATGCACAATACACATAATATAGGTACCGTGGTACAAATCTAACTTATTAAAAATATAATGTGTTACACATGGTTGCAACCACCAGTTTATCGTGAATTCACGTTTTCCTATTTCAGTAAATATTTGTACACGATGTATACAACGGTACGTTTTTCAGATTTTGAGTGGGAAGTAATTAATTAGTATTACAGCTAATGGTTCGTTTTTTGGGTTTAACATGACAGTTGTTGGAGTGGTAAAAATGTTTTAATCATCAACTTTGAGGTTGATTTTGGTAGATAAATTTGATCTTTTAGGTTCTCAATTTTGAAATATTTTTTAAATAACTTTTAAAGCCAACTAAAGACAGCCAGATAACTCCAAAATATTTACAAAACATGCGTTTTTGACGGAAATTGATTTTTTTATTGTTGTTATTAATTCTAAAGGAATAACCGTAGACACTCGTAATATTCACTAAATATTTATATTACGATTTTATGCACACGATATAATTTTTAGAATATTTTGGCTCTTTTTGAGATTTTTTTAATTTGTTCTGTTTTTAGTTTTTTTCGATGTAGGTAAATTGATAAGTTATAACATTTTTTTGAGGAGCAAAATGCTTGAAAGTGTAATTATTAGGTTCTATTCATATGCATTTCTTATAGCAGTGAAAACATATCGAAAATACTTATGTGTATACATAGTCACTTTTTTACTTAAGTATTTGATTGATAATTGTTAATTGATTAATTTTACAAATAAAGGCTACACACACATTCCGGTGAACTGTAGTCAACGATAAATAAATTGTATTTCAGAGCATTTCTATGTTTTCATCCCAAAATTGATAGTAACAAAAATATCCACAAGACTAAAAAAATTAATATGTAAATACATAAGGTAATTCTCCGAGAATATTTATTAATGTTATTGTGAAGATTTTATTGTAGTTTATTAATTTTCGAAATTTAAATACTAAAGATTAGGTACCCATTGCAGAATCGAAGTTATATTATTTTCAGTCTGTGAAATTTGAATTATTCATAATAAAATTGGGATATATTATAAATACTTTCAAGTATCTAATTCATCATATTGCATTGACCTTTTGATTTGTTTACGGAATTCTGCTATGATTTCGATTACAACGTATTAGTTGTTTTCAAATATAATACCTGATTAGAACAACAATTTTGAAGAATTTATATACTTCTGTACTAATCGGGTTTTAAAAAAAAAGTTTATTATGTTTTAATGGATGTAAAAAGTATTTCACCACACATGTGTTGAAAACGGCTCGAGGCTTGTATAATCTCTGTAGAGGACTGTTGTAATTTAAAACTAACTAAGGTGGCACTGTAAAATGTTTCGAACCTACAAGACAGTGTTAATCGTGTATCTTTAGGAGGGGTATATAATTACGGAGAGAAGGGGTAGGGGTATAGATGGGTTTTATTTATAAATTATTACAACATTTTAAATTTTAAATGTTAATGTTTAGTTTAGTGTACTCGCTAAAAAATAACTATGATGTAAAAATAAATGATCGATTTCACTTTCATTGTTATCACATATCTTTCATATTTATTTATAAACCTGTTATACTAGGCTACATACTAGCATATTGTGTATTAAATACATAAAGATAATGAGTAATGGGTATAACCACAATTCCTAAAACATAAATGTTATAAAAAAATGTACTTCGGAGATGTCATACGAATACTACTAACGCACGCTGTCGAGTAGTCCATTGTTTTTCGCAACTTCGTGTACAAATACTACAAACTACCACACTACTGTTTTCTTTTTAATATTGAAAGTAGTTTATTTTTATTAAGAACTATATTAATCTGTGATGAATTCATATATAGTTCAAAATATATAATAATATATAAGTCATAAGAGCCATGGGGGCAGAACCCTCTCCACGACTTTGTTATGAATATTTATTTTGATATCCCCCTCCCCAAATAAAACGCTCTGAATTACGTCCATGGTCCATGGTTCTTGATGAAAAATAACGAGTGGGATGATAATTAATCATCTACTCGTCTTGTGTAAAAGTAAATATTATAAATAAAACATTGTGATGATTAATTGTTACGAAAAATTACTTATTCATATCCAATAGGCAATAATATTTCTCACCGTAGTTAAAAAAATATTTAAAATTCATAATCAGAATTTTTTTTAAAAAGCGTATTCAACATTATAGCTGTAATAACGTAAACATTTGAAAACAATTAAAACATTTTTTTGTATATAATATGTATTGTACAGTGGATTTTTAAATATTATCTGGAAATTACTGGAAAAGCACAATTAAACTTTTCTATCATTATGATATTATATTTTCGAATTAATATTATATTAATATGTATACAATTAAAATTAAATAAGAATAGAAAGACTAAATCGATAGCAATTTTGTATATACTTCTAAAGTAAAATGGCCAAAATGTAATATTAAAATTTTATAACAAACGGGTTGGTCAATTATATATTGTCCAGTCAATAGGTAAACGATTTAAACATTTTTTTTTTATTCTTTTAAGAATATTCTCTCATAAATTACCCTTAAAAATATGGTCGTCTAATGCATGATACAGTGATGCTTAGCTTCGATTTTTTTAAATCAATTCCATACAATTGCACTATTTTTATATTTTTTATCGACGCATTTCCAGTAGTTTTTCGTAATTAGACTAACTTATATAACAATATTTATGTTTCTTTTAAATTTTTCAACATCTCATCCAAGGTAACAATTAAATTACATTAACAAAATTACATTTCAATAATTAAATATAAGTACACACACGGCTATTTACACAAATTATTATTATATATAATATATTTTATATCTATGTTTTAACCTACGCTTTAGGTCATACGTATTTTTAATAACTAATAAGAAATCACTTTTTTATTGATTTATTAGATCTACTTGGTATTTAATTCAGTCAACAGAAAAATTCTTAAAAATTCAAATATATTTAATTTTATTATGATTTATTTCATTATTGTTATACATCGTGTATTTATGTTTGAAAATGTTTACTACAATGGCATTACTAGCTATGAATAAAAACAGTTAATCGAAATTATTTATATAATATACGTATGATACTCTGAAAATGTGAAAAATTCCAAGTTTTGACATTCTTTTGATTTTTTTATAAGGCGTATCTTAAACAGTTGTCGATTAGGAAGAAAATGTAATAAATTTTTTCAAGATAAACAACAGTCTGGCCAGTCTGCGTTATAAACTAAAATATGTCATTTCAAACAAACACAATTCATATATACATATAGATATTGTTTTAATGATTTTAGGATGTGTTATCATTATTAACGCCAGTAGCATTCGAATCGAAACCTACTTATAACTTAGTGTAGTGTATGGTGGCTATTTTAGTACAGACAAGACTGTAAGCTGAACTCCGGAATAGTCATGGTAAGTTGTTTCATTCATGTGATCAAATTAAATTTTTTTTAATTTTATAATACGAAGACTTATAAATCAAATAATTATTATTTTAAATGTATATGAATTTTATGCTTTGTATGTAATTATGAAAATGTGCAAGTAGGTAGGTCCATAAATTATTATAGGATTCATGTCATATTGTATTACTTTTTAGGAGGAATACACAACCTTTTCCTTAACCACCTTAATGAAAAATAAATAGTCACTTTCAACACATTATTCAATAATTATTTATCAATTTATTGAAGAATTTATTTTCTGATGAATTAAAATTAAAAAATAATTTTCTCATTGGTACACTAACTTACTGTGTACTGTACTCAATACTCACAAGTTCAAAGGGTTTACATCTAAATAGTCATAAATCATAAAATATAAGTTGTTAAATATGTTGTTTCATTGATCTTAAATACATTTAAATGAATGAAAGGATTTTGACGGAAATGTATTTCTAATTTTTCATGTATTTTAATAAACGGCTAAACTAATAACTGATTAGAACTATAACTATACGCATATCGACAATAATAAAATAAATGATCATTAATAATTATTCTTTAAGAAAGATTTTCTACCGTGTATAATTATTTTGAATTAATCTTCCGTATACACGTACAACAATAAATAAAACAAATTCAAAAATGATCAATTTTTGAAAAATCGTTTTCGTCAATATTCTTTTTTTTATTATTATACTTAAGTACAATGTTATAGATATACTTATACGAGTATCTCACATTTCTTGGTCCTGATTTTTAATAAGTAAAAACTGTGATTTTCAACTAACTATAATTTTTTTTGGTAGATTATTTGAATCTATTAAGCTGAATTTATAAGTAGTTTTATATATATGAACGCTTGTACGTGATATCTTAGCATTAAATATGAATCATGACAATTTGGAGTTTTTACTACCTATTGTTTTGGAATTTGAGATATGTAGATAAAAATAAAAAAAACTGTGAATTGCAGTAGATACAAATGTATATCACGATCTTAAATTAAATATGTTTTTTTTAAAGTTTTTTCGTACATTACATAATAAGTGTTATTCCTATTATTGTGTGTTATATATGATTATAAAATATTTATATAATAATATCTTAAAAATAATATTTAAGTTGAATCTACCCCAGAACATTAAAAATAACCTAATAATTTATAGTCTTAAGACCCTATTAGAAATAATACAAATTATTTAATTTAAATAAATTATAAACATATATTTGGATAGAAATCTTAATATTTACCTATTACTTAGAGATTTATTACATTTTAATAATAATTATAAGTTAAAATATTTTATACATACAAAAACTTCGATAGCAAGTTCAGTATCTTTAATTGAAATACTTTTTTATTTTGGATAGACGTACGACCTATTACGATTTTTAGGTACTTTAACAGTAATGTTTTATTTTCATAGACTATTACGAACTTCGTTCATAGACTACGAATTATTTTTTATTTATTTTAGCACTTTTTTTAAACATTTTTTAGAATATATATTATAATCTGTAACATTTTTACAATAAGCATATGCGTAAATCTATTGGAAGTGAATGCTCGAGGGGAGATTTTTTATAGAAATATTTAAGGTTCAAATTTTTACAAAATCACAAACATAAATTATTTTGTAGTTAGTTAAATATAACTTTCATTTCTACAATCAAAGCTTAAAATGTTATTATAATGCCCCTCAAACGTAATTCTTTCTAAATCCTAAAAATCTAAAAATTAATATTATAATCGCATTTTCCAAATGTATTTACTAATTTTAAGCTATTCACATCGTTTTACCGTAAGGTGGATTTTGCCGACTCAAAAGTTAATAACAATTTAATATACCATATAAATATTTAGGTACTATTATAATTATAATCAATTATAAATGAGAATGTTTTTGAAAAAAAATAATTGAACCTACCATGAATTAAATTATTTTAATTGTAATATATAACTTTAGTAAATTATGCACATTAATAAGTTTAGAATTGTTGTTGTATGCAATACTTGTTTTATAATTTAACTAATTTTTAACATATCCATAGATAAAAGTTACATACTCGTTGCCTACTCATTACTCAATGATGAGGTACCTACATTTAACACCCACAGTAGAGTGGATATTTACTTGCCACTTTCTTAGTTATTTTATTCAGATTGTGTATTGTGGAGAATTCAGTTGAGCATGTTGATGTCGGTGTTTAATATTATGCTAGATTGAAGAAGAATTGTTCGTTTTTATAATTTAAATATATGTACTGCCTACTGGCTACTTGCTTTTAATTACATTTTTACGTATTAAGTATTTATACAATTTGTACTAATTAAATTTTTTATTGTCTTTCCAGGCACCTAAATTGTTGTGGATAGCAATTATTCACGTCTTATTATGGAACTTTATATTTTCTCTATCTGAGAGTATTGAATTAAATGAAGATGGTGGATTATTATTAAATAGTTTACGCGATCGAGTACGGTACACAACACATATTTGCGATCGTTTGAAAAATTCGTCGCCGGTTGTTAATCATAATAACTATGAACCTTTACCAGATTCAGATGGAGATGAAAATGGGAGATTAGCTAAGGATTTGAGTGAACCATCAAATCCTGTTAAAAGGCATGCTATCTTACGATGCTATAACCGTCCAGCACAAGAAAATCACGAGCCTAATAATCCAGATATAATAACTAGTGAGTGGCAAATGAAATCTACTCCTGTAAACGACGCATATGGTGATTTGTATAACCATTCGACACTTCAAAAACCAAAAGTTGTAGATCTAAAAAAAATTGACATTAATTCGCAGAAAGTGATTGATCAAGAACCGTTATATCATACTGTACCACTTTTAACGAAAGGAAATTTTATAAGTCAAAATCCAAAACACTCACTACTTCAATTAAATTTGCAAGATACGGCGAACAAAATTAAATCATTAATTTCTACACAACAACATAAGTTAGGTGAAAAAATATCAGACAAATTAGTCGATGAAAGTCTACATAATAAACTAGCCAAACCATCTCTGACTCTTTCATTACCTCCTAAATTTACTAAGTATCCCGTAATTAATCCATTAATACGGCCAACCGAAATAGTAAATAATGTTGATTCAGCAGGGTTGATAACAGATAGTGACAAACAGAGTAATCCACCAAAATTGCCTCAATTTTTACCATATATACCGAACAACAATTCTTACCAGAAAGATTTGATAGTAAAAAACAAACCATTTTCGCCCCTTTCACCAATTCAATTTAATAAGCCCAAACCTGTAGACATATTTTATGACAGACATGTACCACCTATCGTGTATCAGCCAACACTTCCTTCGTTAATACAAACTCCTGTCATCAAACAGATACTTCCAACGGTTTTTGTCCCAAAAGAAGTATCGATATCTTCAACAAACGAACGGCCACAACCCAATATTGGTTTGACATCACAATATCCTAAAATAGTCAAGATTGTTGGATCAACGTCTCAACCAACCCCAATTGAAAAAGATGTCACAATATCTTTGCCACATAAAAAACCTCAGGAATTTATTGGTTTATCACTACCTACACAATTTACAAAGACTTCTGACACTGAAACCAATATTAAACCGATTAAAATTTTTGAGAAAAAAGTTTCAATATATTTGCCATTTAAAAAACAACAGGAATCAATTGATTTATCACCACCTACACAATTTATAAAAACTTCTGAGACAGAAAAGGTACACGGACCCACTACAATCGAAAAAGAAGTTTCAACATCAGCACCGAAAGAACAAAAACAACCGATAGCTTATTTGCCACCACAAGATCCACAACTTATACAGACTCCTGACAATGAATCAATATATCAGGAAACTACAGTCCCAACAGTAGTATCAGTGAATGTGCCATACGAGGAAAAACAATCAACAATTAGTTCATCTTCACTTTCTCAAATAACTGAGTCTTACAACAGTGAATCAACATCTCAAATAATGCCGAGTGAAAATGCAGAATCAACGTCCAGTACGTATGAACAACAACAACCAATAGTTAATCTTTCACCACCTCCGCCTCCACAACTTCAACAAATTAAAATACAAAAGGAAATATCAATACCTTTACCATACAAACAAAAAATAGTTGCCGCACCTCTACAGCTAGTCAAAACTTTCAACACTGAACTAATACCTCAGAAAAAAAATTCATTATATGTTCAACAACAACCAATCACTTTGCCATCACCTCCTCCACTAACCAAGACTACTACTTCAGAGTATCCCTACTAATTTAAAAATAAATGTTCACTATTAATTTGTCACAAATTTCAAAATTTCAAATTTTTTTATTAGAATCAAGATCAAAATATGAACCTATTTCAATAGATGAAAAGGTATTGGTATTTATATGAGTAGAAATCTCAATCCGTTATTATTAGTTTAGTCATCATTCACCACTTCCAAAACTAATCAAGATCTTCAGCAATCAATTAAAATCAAAAAGATAACAAAAGCTATTCAAAACTTGTAATGTATAAAATATTTATGGATTTAAATTTGTGTTCACATTCTAAGTCTATAATATATTATACACTTTTATATAAATTGTTATATATGGAACATTATAATATTAGAATTTTAATTCATTTCATTTTATTTTAACCATCTTTAATAATTCTATTTATTTAGTATAATATTATATCAATGTTTATGTAAAAAAATAAAATATGAACATTTTTATCAAGTTTAATAAAAATATATCACACCTATTTTAAGTTTTATTAAAAATTGTATCAATTATTGATTGTTAATTTAAAAATTAATAAGCTTAATACAGTTATTTATGGCCTATACATTGTTATTTATTTTACATTACTAAAATCTGTAATTTGTTACATTGTAAGATTGAATCATTAATCGCAAGTAAATTATTTTTAACTTTGGGATAAATTGATAAATTGTTACTTATCTAATATCTATTAATATAAAGTTAATTTGTAGGGATGTTATTGGTACTGCATATGGCACAGTGGGGTGTTAGTGTGTTTAAGCCAAGTCTATCACACTCATGGTAATGACATTTGCAGGTACATTCAACATTGGTAATCGTATAGGAAATTTTTCATTTTAAAGAGAGCTCTCGCGGGAATTTGATGGCTCACAAATATTGAATGTTTGAAGTGAATTCCATTGGTTCCAAATTATACTAATGAACATGATTACAGTTTTACATAATTTGTCAAGAGCATCCCCACGCAGTATCAACTATATAGTATTAAATAAAAATGAATCTTTAGAATCATGATGATAATGGAATTGCATACCTACCTTAAGGCTTAAATAGTTAACTTCAATTATATATATCAGGCATGGGCCACTCAAAGTTACTAGAGAGCCATTTTTTAGAAAATTAAAATCTTTTAAACAATTATATCTATTAAAATTTGAAATTGCTCTAGAAAGCAAAAAAAAAATAGAAAAGGGGGTCATTCAAAATATACATTTTAATTACCATTTATTTTGTTTATAATGTAATTTGAACATGTAGCACGGGCCGACAGTTGCCCATCCCTGATATATATGAACAAATTGATATGGACTGATATTATACAAATAAGATATTATTCTTGATTTTTTGATAAAACATGGATTTCAGATGCTATAATATATTATTTAAGTGTTTCTCAATCCGATGTTTAAATGTTGTGTATGGGCCACCAGCAAATTATTACAATAATATTTTGTTATTTTATTTTAGAATGGCAGATAAATAATGGTTAAATTTAAAGAAAAACTTTATAAGACATTTTTACTTAAACAATTATCCTTGACAAATATATATTATATTATTATTTACAATGTTGTTCTCGAAAGCAATAAATCTTAGATTCGAATTGCAATTAGTTGTTAAATCTAAGGCTGATGTATGGGATATAACCTCCCACAGTTCACTTTGAACTTTATTTTAAAAATGTAACTTGAAAAATTGTTTTTATCTTGGATAACATAATATATACACAAAAGTTCAGAACCACTCTATAGTACACTATAATGTACGCCAATAACACTTCTCTACGTTTATAAAATATTGCATTTTTAAATTTTCTTATACGAAATGTGTAATTTTAAAGCATTGCATCTGAATAATAATTTAATATCAGAACGGGGTATTTTTGAACTTTAGAGTTTTAAAATAATAGTATCCAATATTAGTGATACCCATTAGTCAAATATAATAATGGCATATTAATATATCAATATGTATATAAATAAATATTTTTTAAAAATATTTTCATTCAGCTATACTGCCGATATTCATATATTTAAATATAATTTTCTAAAAAATGGTTTTAAATAATATATCTACAATCGGTCGACACTTCAGATGGTTTAAAAATGTATCTTTCATTTGTTATATTTTGTTATATGACAATTAATAACTTCAGATACTCATTACTAGGGCATAGGCTAAAATTTAAGTCACAATAAGAGCCAATGTTTGAGCCTTGAAAAGTTGAAACTTATAATATGTGACATTTTAATGGTTTGTGTTTTGGGAGTATATTTTTTTTAAGTTACGATTTTGATTACTGTATGTTAGAATATGAAAAAAAACCGAGATTAGGTTATAACCGGTTTCAAGCCCTGTCAGAGGAACTAAATTAAATTGTATTACATGCATAACTAAACAACATGTTTTAAAGTCAGTATCCACAGACGCCCGCGTAGTTCAACACAATAATTTTCCTTTGAAACATTTTCATGGTACATCGTTATATAAATCTTCTATAAATTAAAATTCATTGGAAAGGTACTTGTTCTTATATTAAGTGAAATAACAAAAATAAAAATAATATTGTTCAGTCTCTGGTCTTGAATGTTATAGATATCGGTCCGTCCGGTTTGTTTATCAATAAGGATTTACTGTCCAATTTTGGTCCCGTCCAAGTCATTTCCAAGTTTCTGACGATCTAAAACACACGTTATAACTTGTATTTAAAACGATATAATTTGCACAGGGTAGATATGTATGTTGATCAGTAGGGAACGGCTTTATATGTAGGTAATAAAAATACAAAAATATGTACATAAAATATTGAAAAATAATTTATAAAATACGTGCTAAAAACATCAAAATATGTGGGCAAAAATATTTTTATTTCTGCATAAGTAGATTGCATAGGTATATGGAAAAATACGTTAAATATAATTGTATAAATATCAGATATAATATTTAAAATATATTATATAAGACATAATATTATACAAAAAATACTGTAGAATGATGTATTGCATTGAATAATTACAATTTATTTTAAATGATTGAATCTGAAATTTCGCCTATTCGGCCTCAAAATATTTTTGAAACGGCTAAACGATCGTTTCACATCAACACGTGTAATTGGAGCATATTAGAAACGCGTAATTTCTGAAAGAGATAATTCCAAACTTTTAGAAGGGTTCAATCATACAATCATTATTTCTATGATTATTTTAAAATCAATATAGCTCGAATTTTTTTCTGTAGGTATTAGAACGAATTTTCTTTATTACAAAATTTCTTTTGCATACTATTATTTAAGGACTTTTTTTGTTAAACGATAACATACCGATAAATGGTTGTTTTAGTTCACCTCGGCTTGGCTTCAAAACGTATGAATGATAAAATGATATAATATGTTTGAAAATATTTACAAATTAGTGAAACATGTAAAAATGTGTACCTAATTATACTGCAGAATTTGTAAAAATATGTAAAATAAAATTGGAGTTATTTTAATAAGAATGATTTAAATCGTAAACATTTCTTATCGAATCTTAAATATCTTGTTCTAATAAAAATATGCATTCGCACATAAATCCGTTGCCTATTGATAAGGCATTTATAAATTATAATACGCCTGACCGCATGCGATTCGTAAATACAACTTACTTTTATGAGCACAATCTGCAGGAATTGTTCAGATAAACGTCTCGCTATGCACGTCCTAGGTCCGTGGCCGAAAGGTAAAACCAAATACGGACTGACCTTATCGTATTCGGTGCTGCCCTTTATCCATCTCTCTGGCACAAATTCGTCGGGTCGTCGGAAGTATTCTTCCAGGCGGCAGCTCACCTGATTTTGCGTGACGACAACTGTCTATATGTGTTTGGAAAAAAAATTGTCAGTTTATTTTCACTAAACCTGAACAACGCCGCTGACGTCGTATATTAAGTTTTATTATATTATAACAAAAAAAGGACGTCACACACTCAATGTAACTACGGTTCTTATATGAAGTTAATCAATTTAAACGAAATATTAAAAAATGATAACGTAGCGATCAAATATAATTATTAGAATTTCCAAAACGACTGTTCCCTTATCAAGGTGCAGTATTGTGCTTATCGGTTTCTAAGTCCCTTGTTCCTTGTTGAGTGAGTATAGGTACCCACGAGTTACGACATTATGATACAGAAAAAATACTGATTCTAGTAAAAAAAGACTTCGAAGACGTTGTTGTGGACTAGGTACTTACACCAATAATACATTTTCAAACGACAGGGATATTATTATTATGAAATCATTTGTTTTCTCCAAAAACATCGACGGTTTAACAAAACAATTATAAGATATCAATTTAAATAACAAATTTGATTTTTCATTGGTGGTCGGGAACATTAGAGTTGTGTTATTGATCGAGTACCCATACAGTCATCAATTGCGTTTCTTGTGAAAACTTTCCTAGTTATTAACTGGACACCCGATGAGTGTGCAATGTGGTGAAGTCCTTAATTATTATTTATTATAATATATTTTATAAAATTGTTTTTCGCGTTTACTCCTGCCGGGACTCTGTACCCCGAAAACACGCATTCCTCGGGCAATATCCGTCCGACGCCCACCGATATCGGATTCATCCGGAACATCTCTTTGACGACCGCTTTCGCGTACATAGCCCTCTCCAACACCTCATCGGTCACTGGTGTGTGAATGTCCGGTAGCAGGGCCTTTGCCTCATCGAACATTAGCTCCTGAACTTCCGGGTTCGACGACAAATGGTACAGTGCGAAACAACACGAATACGTCGCCTAGAATCAATAAACCGTACTCACATCAATTTACAACTATAAACATAGTATAATATACGATGTTTACCTAAAAATAATAATAGTCTTATCAAATTCTTATTTTACATAGGTTTGTACGACTCCGCGAACCACATCCAGGTGTTGCGTGGCCCACAATTGATTTCAAATCAACAGTTGTAAGATTCTAATAATCATATATTAATATCAGAAAATTAATTTTACCGATCATTGTGACCGGTCAAAAGTAGCGGAAACCATTCAATGAAATGTAATATGATTTTGACCTGTAAATTCTAACATCCGGTGCGCAATATCGCATTATTGTGGCTTAAGGCTTTTTAAGTGAATATGATATATGTTATAAAGTGCGACTGACCAGTTTTACAAGCACCACTACAGACAATTATACCACAGTACAATATAA